AGACAGTAAAACGGTACAAGAAGCTTTGCTATTTTATTTTCAACTGATGCTTCACGACTCACACAACCTGTACAACGCTTACACCGGAGAAAATAAATGCCTGCAGGAATACGAGGAATGTGTGGTCAGATAGCTCCCGGGAACCGCCCCAAAATCCCCGAGGAAAAACCCAACCGGGAAAACCCCATCTGTCCGGCAAGGTCGGAAAAAAAATAGAAAAGAATCCAGCAAGTTCATGCTCAAGCGGTGCAAGCAATGGGACGAGAAAGGTCACGAACTGACACGATTATGATCTGCACCACTTTGCCCCGAAAAATGCTTCGAGACCTGGCACAAGAGTAGAGCTTGCACGGTCGATTCTGTTATCTACATAAAAAAATAAGCTCCATTTTGATATAATTTGTCCTGAATTGCATTTACGGTCTATACGTACTTTTTTCGATTCAAAATTTGAGGAAAATGCTAATGACGCACATACGAGTATGCTTCATTCAGGAAGTGCTTAAATATTCATACCGTTTGAGGCCAAACAAATGCTCCGCTCTTTGAAAATTTGTGGCGCCTTTGAAACAGCAACTAGCACGACGAAGTTTCCTTCATACATGAAGGAAACTATGCATACTTTATGAATCCTTTGAGTGGTGTCCGGTCCCGCCAGTGAATTCCCCTAATGGTTATTTCCCCGACAGTCAGTTCCCCGAACAACAAATTCCCGGATTGGTCAGTTCCCCGATGTTATGTATCAGCGACAACACGGGCAACCCGCCCTCTTGTTGTAGCTCGGTAACGGCAGTTTTCTCTATATCTTCTGTTGAGGCACTCCCAATGAGTTTTTCATCCGACCTTCATTTTGTTCTTTATGAACAGAGTAAGAAGATTCGCTGTTCTTCATGAATTCCATGTTCTCACACCGTCCAAGGACCGACCACTTAACGGTGTGATTCCTAAGCCACCTGACTTCTCCAGATATACTCCCATTTTCGATCTCGATGGACAACTTGTCGATCATCCCATCTCTGGTGGCTGAGAGGACCATCTCTCGATCGTTTCTGTTCCCTTTCTTCATCATTTTTTTGCTCCCGAGAATCTTTATCAGTGATCCGACCGACTAGCATCGTATCGGTAGCGATGTTCCCTTAGCGAACCAGGTTTCCTTAGGTTGGAGGCAAAGAATTTGATGGTTTCCTCCCATCCGGAATAAGAGATCAGCGAATTTTCCCTTTCCTTCCGTTCGCTTACGCCACTCGTCACATGGAGCAAATTGATGCTCTTCATCAGTTATATATATGTCTTCTTTCAAAAGATTGGATTCAAAATTAATATTGCGCAAATTTTGTATCATGTGGCGAATATGGTGACCTGATCGCCACAAATTTGGCGAGCATCGAAATCCTATTGGACACCAATGGCTTAGACCCCCGCTCTTGAGTCCCAACTCGGTAGGGGAGCGACCGCATCCCCTATTCTAGCTTCATGATCTGCCATTTTGGAAATTTTTTACGAGAAAAAAAAATTCAACGTAAACAAAAGCTTATTCATAATCACTCATCCATCCGTCTGTGTGCTCGATCCCATCGCACCAATACCGCTTGACCTTTGTGCCTCCATCATTCGAATTCATCATTAGGGAATTTACAGGTGGGGGATTTTTCCAAACGGGGAACTGACAATTTCCTATTAAGGGATTTTGTCCATTTGGGGAATCGACCGGACACCGGGAACCCGCACCTGGACGCTGACGGAGGACCTGACTAGGAATGACAATTCTTCTCAAGGGTTTTTCTCCTCTGCACTTACGAGTCCCCCGAGCGGATCTATGACTCGTACTTGAGTCTGGTAATTTGCAGATGGGAATTTTCCATTCCGGGATTATCATGTTGAGAAAGAATGTCTTCTTCCAAATAAACACAGTTTCCTTCAGTTCCATCCTCTCAGACTCTCAGATGAACCGGTTTATCGCAGCTTGCAAATCGATCTCTTAACGATAGGCTTACATTACTTTCATCCCTTAGCAGGAAATTCTTGCGATGGACAAGTAATGTAAGCCCCATCCACTGAGCCACTTTACACAGTGGCTCAGTGGATAGGGGCTCGGGCGCACGCGGCAGGTGGTATTCTCCTGGGCCGACAGTTCACCCGGCTGCTTTCGAGTACTACCTGCTGTCCCTTGGGCGGAGGCATAGGCCACTCTGTGCTCCATTGTGTGAGAAATAGGGGCTTGATGCACCTCAATAGCACCTGCCACATCGGCCCTGGCGGCCCGATGTTCAGCCGGATCGGCATCGAAGTTACCACCACCTACCCCGGGCCAATGAAAGCGGGATACGTTATGACAGGAAGCGTGGGAAGGTGGGGCAACGCCGTCAGGGATGTCCGATTAGAATTCCCTTTCCTCCATTCTCCATGCTTGTGGCATTTGTCCTTGTCTATGTATGTCCGTCCCAGTCCACGTTGAAAAAAAGGAAATTCTTGCCCCATTCCATCCTTCTGCAAAGAGCAACACATTCGTGAGCAGATGGCCCAAGATTGGAGAGCTGAAAGGATACCAAACACTCTCCTGCCGATATGTTTTCATGCGCAAAAATAAAAATCGCGTTTCCTTCGCGTTTTTGAAACGTCGAAGAAAAATGAATAAGAACTTTAGGACGTTTAAGAGCTTATGTGTAGAAGCAGCGGCGCATTTTTTTGCCTCATCCGGTATCATCCCGCCGATTACGCACATCCGCCTCGATCTTCAACGTAACGTTTTGATTATTAGTGTACTATGGCGATCAAATTAAAGTTTTTCGTTCATAAATGTTTAGGTTTTGCTGAAAATTTACTTTCGGGCCATGAGTCAAGGATGAAAATTTTCGTCGGTAGTGAACGCGTTAAATTGGAAATTGCTATAACCGTTTTTTCATGGGCACAAACTGGACCTATTTATCCAAGTCGATAAAATGTATTGTGCACTGGAATGAGTGTCTAGGTACGCCCATTTGGCGAAGGCGCACTTTTAAATATGCAGGGTTGTGCAAAATACCTACCCCCCTACCTCCAGACAAAGCCTGCAGAGTTTGACAAAATATCAAAAGTTTCGCTTGATTATCATACAATATTATGTCCAAAACGTAATGTCTGTATTACCAATATGTGCCTTTTAAATGGCTTGATTCTTTTCTAGGTTAAAATTTCAACATATTTCGGAGCAAATAAACATAATTTTCAGTGTTTGAAGCACCAGCATTAGTTTTTCTTTCATAATCTCGATTGAAAATTGATTGTTTCGTTCTTCATGCATCATTTCTTCCGCTCGATCCTTCAAATTTGACCCCACGTGCTTGCAAACATTTTAATTAGGTTAGTTCCCCGGCCATTCTTCATATCCAATGAAGTCGATGTTGTTTTCCCGTATCTTCTGGAGATGGGAAATTTCTGTCCTGATGACTTCATGCAATGGTGAGAGCTTCAGGGATCGAAAACCTTCAAATTCAGAATCAATATTGCTCGAGATAAGATTCCAGTTCCATTTCACTCAACTTTCATCTGTGTTCAATTTCATTGCAAATTTCATTGCATCACTTTTTCGTGATGCATGTTGCGCCCTCGTCTTTGGCACAGCCATAGTTCAATGTTTGAAACAATGGTTCGCTGTCACCTATGATGCCTGTCATTTTTTCACTTAAAAAATTTCACATAATATTGTGTGAAGATTAGAAAGAAAGGATAACTTTTGTTTTTGGTCAAACACTGCTAGTTTTGTCTGGAGGTAGGGGGGGGGAGGGGGGGGGGCAGGTATTTTGCACCATCTTTACAGGGAGTCCTATAATTCACCTTCCGAAAGCCAATATTTTCTAAATTACCGAAAGCAGTTTTTGGACAGGATTCCAGTTGATCCGGTCCATCCAGATGGCAACTTTTCTTCCTTGCTACAGTGTCAACTGCCAAGCAATTTCTCACGACAGAAAGCAAAATTCAAGTACCAGACTTTTACTATTCCTTCACAATCATAATTTTACACAAAATAGAAAATGGAAAAGCAAAGAATCAGCGATATCCTAGAAAACTCCCTGAAATTTCCAAAAAATTACGCTGAAAAAGAGAAGTCCCTTTAAAATTCATTGACTGTAAATTCCTTTTTGCCACGATTTGTTGGTTTTGTCTTAAAAACATTTAAATCATCATCGATACTAACTGCATGAACTTGCTTTCAGTAGTTGGGAAAATATTTTCTTCTGAAATATTAAAGTAAATCATCGGACACCCTGCGTACGTCTTCACCCAAATGACGAATAGGCGCGTGTTCTATGTCGTGTTAGGTTTCTGGTATGAATAATAAATATCTTCTGACGATTTGATAAAGCCTTCTTGCATTCGAAGACATTTGAAAGACAGGTCGTTAGAACTTGCACCACTGGCTGCGTTTAGCACTGAAGAATGGTTGCAGCGCGTATGCTACTTGGCGCAAAAACGAGGAGAATTTATGTGGGGAAAAATATGTATACAACGTATCGTATTGGCGGATGGCGGCTCGCGAGAGTGGCGCTATAAGGGGGGGATTGCCTAATATAAGCATATGAGGAAGATTTGTTCGGAAAGAGCTGACGGTAAGATAGGGTGACGGTATATCGAGGGTTGACCGTAAGAGATGTCTTAAAAGACTTCTTTTACGAGATATCCAGAAGCGCTTGGCTAAGGATGTCTTAAAGATATTCCTCTGGGATATAGATAAGAATTCGACTGATCATGTCTTAAAGACGTCTCTAAGATGTCCCGAAGACATCCCTTTCAAGATGTCGGAAACCGTCAGAATGAAGATGTCTTTAATATGTCCCATAAAGACCTTGGGGCAAGTCGTCCAGTTGAGTACATCCCTCGGATGTTACCGCCCACACAGCACAGGTATATCCCAAAGATATCCCAGAGATATCCCCTTGGGACAAGTGCGATGTCCCAGAGACAAGGAGTAAGGACATCTTAGGGATATCAAAATGTCTGGGCCCAATGACATCCCTTTCTTAATGTCCCGAAGACATCCCTTACGAGATGTCCGAAACCGTCCGAAAGAAGATGTCTTCAGGATATCCTATAAAGACATGGGGACAAGTCCTCCAGTTAGGGACATCCCTGGGATATCCCTGTGCTGTGTGAGTGCTTTGGTTGCATGGGTTTTGGCCTTTTTTCTTTTTACTATTATTATTAGTTAATCATTAATAGATAACTAGCCCTGCGGAGTCACATCATAAGAAGAAACAAGAGCATCATGGCCACGCTCGCTACATCCTGGTATATCCTGAGCCAAGAGCCCGGTACCGGAATTGCATTGGGAGCAAGATGAAGGCAGCCTGGCGGGGTATGCGGGTGATGCGCACGCGCACCATGCTGACAACATGGACGATTGCGCGATTCTCTGAAGCAACGTTCTGCTTACGCTTGAATCTGTACCCAAGGAAAACGTTCGACTAGAGTGAGCATGCACAAAATTGCAATTTGTTACACTACAATGGTTTTTCTCTGGTACTTCCCAGGAGATGAGTAGGCCTACATTCCCCACGACTGAAATAAATTAGGCGATAGAGCGCGTGTTAAAAGTGGTAGGAATTCATTTGTAAATTGTGCACATACAGTGGGAAAGGCCCACCTTACGCTTGGCATATGACCTTCCCCTTCGCCGTTTAAGAATCAGCCCGTCCTTAGTAGGCTTAGGGTTTTGTGTTGATTTTACGGTAGGTCTTAACTAGACCTGTGGCATGAGTTGGCATACCCTAGCCTAAGAATAAAAACGCGTATCACCTTTTTCGAAAGCAAACCTAAACTGAGCCTGCAGGGTTTCTCTACTTTCGGGCGAATTTTTTTCTCATGTTTATCCTTCCAAGAGCATGGGGAGGGTCAATCGATTTCTGGTAAGTGTACTTCCCACTCCCCATGAAAGGGTTACATGAATTTTTTGCATTTTTCATATGGTTCAAACTCCAGTCTTCCATTAATCCAATTTTAGGCATAACAGGCAAATGTCTCTTAGTTTACTTGGATATTAGTGTTAATTGAACAAGTGTTAGACTCAACTGGACAAATCTATAGGCTTAGTTGGTCATACAGGTAAAACTTATTCATGAAACATGCAAATAGGTATATGATACATACTTCATTGGACAAAACTCATCACAAGCAATTGAGTATCACACATTTAAACTTGCTGCAGCTTATTATGTTTCATATCAAGTAGCATATATGATACATACATCATGAAACTATTTCATGTGTGGTTGGGCTGATGCAACTCTGCCAGCTATTGTACATTGGGCACACACCTGTACACCACCATGCATGGAGTCCTGTCTAGGCTTTGTGATGCATACACATTCATATCTATGCTGTCATATGCATGCCCCTATGCAAAAATGGGTGTTCCTGATACATTTGTAAGCAAGGAGAATGTGATATATTTTTTGGCAATATAGATGTCAGTAGGGCTTCCAAGAGTAAGTTGTACATCAGTGGTTGGCAACAGGCAACCTGTGGGCAAGATCCAGCCTAGAGAAGCTCTCCCTCTGGCCTATTAAGGTCTAAGTTAGCTATCACACATTATAGTCTGATATTAGACATTCAGCTGCACATTTGACACTTGATGCTTAAAAAACATAGTAATTTTAATTACATTCCCTGTCCACCCATGCATTCTGTTGTCAAGATTCAAGATAATTAGTGATATCAAGAGGCGATTTCACCCATTTCAATATCACGTCAAGGTTGAGCGTTCCTTAATTTTAGGGTAGGCCTAACCTTATTAAAGCTAAATATTTTTGTATTTTTGTATTGTTTTTTTTTTTGTTGACTATCCTAGTTGCTTACTCTCTAGTACCTAACGTCAACATTGCCCCCCACCTTTTTGCCTGTTCATGAAAGCATCCAGTTTCTTCTTAAAGATAGTCACAGAAAGGGCAGCAAATTTGATGTCTTTCAATGACAGTTATATACAGGGTGTCCCAAAAAATTCCACCCCAATTTTTAATTGCACATAACTCAAAAACTATTGAAGCCACAGGCTTGAAAAAAAAACAGCAAATTAAAGCTTGTTCCTTCTTTTTTAAAATAATCTATAGTCAAGAGTCAAGAGAGTTAGTGATTGTCCCCCCTTTTTCTCCTTGCATCAGCATTCCCTGTGGAGCCACTTAACAGAAAGTAGTGAGACTCCTACAGTGGCAAGGACAGTGTTTTTAAATGGGACAGAGGGACATGATGGGACAGAGGGAGGTAACCCCAATGCATGAGAACATGGCTGTGACAATGCAGTATGGGTAGAGATGGAGCTCTCAATAAATTGAATTTAATCCTTCCTTTTGCATACCTGCTCCTCTTATATAAGCATAGACCTGAAATTCTACTGGGGGTCATTACTATGAAGGGAGGCACTGCAGCGTGCATGGTGGACACAGGGAAGGCCTCTAGGTGCAAGATATGTAATATCCTATGAAGGGGAGAATAAAGTGTGCTTGGAGAATAGTGGACAACATTGTCTGGGTGGTTAAGGTGTGTGCATGATATGGGCATAAACATTTTGGAAGTGCTAGGACTTGTGGCTAAATCAAGATGCATCTTTGCTCATATTAGGAGAGCAGCTAGAATAGAAATAGCTATGCATCCTCAAAGGTATGCCCTTGAAGCCTAGCTTATACTCATTCAGTTATTAAATATCTTTGAGATTATTAAATATCTCTTATAGTCTAGTCTGTTAGTGTTGTAACCATGTTAGCTCATGTCCACCCAGGAGTTTTCGCAGTGTTCCTTTTGTATATGTCTGTATTATATATTTATTATTTATTTATTAATTATTTTTCTTGTGTGGAAAGTGTGGGAAGTTTTCTTAGGTTGTCCCACTTACATTGGAAATTGTGAAACATGTTTGGGAACAAGAATACTTTTGGAACGACTTCTACATTTGGAAGCAGTAGTAAGTTGTCTTACATCTTGTCTCTGTTAATCATATGTTCATCTCAAGAAAAATGAAAAGCCAGTCATAGTTATATATACAGTGAAAGCCTGATACATGGGTGTCATGGGAACATGAATAACACCCCTGTTATGGGCTATTCACTTTTTAATGGGAAATGCACTCTGGAAGGTCGCTGACTTGCACAAATGTATTTATGGTGTAGTGCTATTTAAGGAGCCAATAGCCCAACCATTTAATCAACTTGTAAGATACATAGTTGCAAAATTGACACATGACATGTATTTATCTATAGGTACTGTATTTTAAAACCACTGATGCACCAATGGACCGTGGTGCCAATGGGAGAACTACAGTGTAATTGCTTTATCTTGTGATATGAGAGTGTGAAAGAGAGGGTGTTTCCCTTGTATTAGTCACAGCATTGCACATTGTTGCATACATCATGCATTACTGTATTAAACTTAAACCAGTGAAGACAGAGCACAGACAAGATAATGAAAAATGGCAATGTCATAACAGGTTGGGGAAAACCCCTTGCTCCAAGTGATTACACCCTTCCTTCTGTATACCTGCTCCTATATACCACAAGGGTTGCCCTTGCAAGGTCATGTTTTCAAATAGAATGCCTCCTATGCCTCCTATGGTGCACTCCTTAGTAACTACAACCATAGAATAAGAAAAGAGGCATCACCATGTGGCAGACTTCCAAATTGCTCAAGAACTGGCCTATACTACAGGAGCATAACAGCAGAAAGCAAATGACTTTCTTTTCTCCATACTCTATGTCTTTTCATTTCCATCCAATGTATAATGTATTGTTGCATTTCAGACAAAAAAAACATGTGCTAAAGTGATGACAAAGTTCCATCCATTCTTGCCTAAAATTGAGCAATACAGGGCATGTTGAGTTGTTTAGCTATTTCTTGAGCCATGTCAATTGGTTCCTTCTGTCATGATTTGGTAACATAAATGTAGTAGAGGTATGAGGTCAGGCATGCATCAAGTTATGATTGCCCTGGACAGTTACTGCTCTTTTTGGTCTTTTTTCCAAAAAAACTGATGAATTTGTCGTGCCTCTATATCCTGAACCACAGAAATAGGATATGTCACAAGGTCCTGCCTGCAATGATCATTTATCTTCCAGGCCCCTTTGGCAGCAATCAACCTGCATTTGGTCAGAGTGGTAGTACCTTCGCTAACAAACCAACTGGTTTTGCCAGCCCTTTTGGGTCTGCAACTGGAACTTCCATATTTGGTGGAGGATCTTCCACGCAGCCTCCAGGAGGACTGTTTGGCAGCAATGCAACTGCGCCAGCATTTGGTCAAACCACTACTTCTACTGGGACTGGATTTGGAGGTGAGGCAGTGAGCATGTGCAGTAATGACATAGAGAGGCATTCCCCCTTCATGTGCTTTATTCCTTCTTGCCAAGCTCTGAAAACTTGTAAGTGCCAATGCAATACATTATTGAGGCACAGTGTTAAAAGTTTACAGGCATATTTCTTAACTTGAGACATTTTTAAATATAAGCAGTTTTTATGGAAAATGAAAACTCGCATAATAATTTACAGATCACTGATACAGTTGTCTTGTGGAACTTATAAATAAAATCTTGATGAAAATAGGAATACTGACTTCTGGACCATATGTTGCCCTGTCACCCTTAAGATACCCAGATTGAAATAATCTTCCAGCTCATGCATCTTGTGATATTCTGACCTGATTTTAATATATGATCAGTATTGTAATGCTCCTATAATAGAAGGGTTACCATTAACTATTGATATACCCATGCACATGCAAAGCTGAAAAGTAGGTGCAAACTGTGAATGCTCATTAAAAAAGAATGTCACAAAAGTCAGACTGTTTTTTTTTTTCCCCAACTGAGATAATAGAATGAAGTTCATTTATTGGTCTGTTACTGTTGCTATTTTCAGAATATTACATGCAAAAACTTGGAAGATAAAATTATCTTGTATATTTTCCATTTGTACTACCCTCATCACCCTTACTTGAAAAAATGGCTTGGCTATTTTGTTGGTATGTTTGGAAAATTTTCTACATTTTAAGAAGCTGGAGTTTCTTCTTATAATACTAAAGGAGCACCTTACATTTGCACTTAAATTTAGGAGTGTGAGCTTAATTCAAATTATTTTTTGGAACAAGTCACAGAAAAGTCAGGTTTGATGGATGAATTTATTTGAGTAGGATGTCTTGTGACTCAATAGTGTCTTTCATCATCCAGATTCTGATTAATGGTGATTATGGTTTGCAATTGTCATGCCTGAATATCCAGGAAGGAAAAATAACTGGAATTGTTCATGGTAGCAAATATCCACCAATGTATATTATGGCATCCCTATTTGAGTGGACATATGCATTTGAAGTGTCCCCTTTTATTTTTAGCATTTGGAGGTGGGGGAACTAGCTTATTTGGTCAAACCACACAGCCACAAAGCACGCAAAGTGGAGGACTTTTTGGTACTTCAACAGGAACTTCATTATTTGGAACCCAAAATAAGCCAGCATTTGGGAGTACCTTTGGAACATCAGCTCCATCTGGAGGAATCTTTGGCCAACCCCAGCAACAGCCATCTTTGTTTGGTCAAAATATGCAGTCTGCAAGCCTTTTTGGGGCCAGTACAGGTGAGTGAAAAGGATTCAAGATTATTAAATTTAGGGGCGAAACTAGGTTTGTTTTGCCAAGTTTAAAAACTCTTCCAACTTTCTCTTCCAGCCTTTGGAGGTGCTGCTGGCCTGACTGGAACCACAATTAAGTTTAACCCCCCCACTGGAACTGATACAATGATGAAAAATGGTGTTTCAACCCAAATTAGCACTCGTCACCAATGCATTACATGTATGAAGGAGTATGAGAACAAATCTCTGGAGGTAAATATCACATAAATGTCATTTGCTTGTTGTTTCTAATCTTCCATCTCCTGGTGTCTGATTTCCTGATTGGTACATGCCACAGGAGCTGCGAGGAGAGGATTATAGTGCTGGTAGGAAAGGGAGTACAAGTGCTCCATCTCTTGGATTTTCTGGGACAACTTCTCTCTTTGGTTCATCAACACCAGCAGGAATGTTTGGCCAACAACAACAACAAGCAAAGCCAGCCTTTGGACCCACTGGTGTGTACCATATATTCCCATCATGAATGTTCTGGATGTTGATTTACCCACAGAAGATGTATGACATTTTGACAAAGAGATCGGAAACTTTCATTTTCTTCCTATTTCTTCTGTTCTGTTGAAAGGTTCCATACTGTCAAGTGTCTTTTATTTTTTTAGCTTTCAATTTATTTTCAACCCATCTTGAATGTAACATTGTCAGATGCTATGTGCTTTGTATGAAGAAATTGTGCAATTTCTTTTTCCCTGCATGTTTAAATGCTTGATTCTTGAGTAAGGGTTCAATGAGGGAGTTTTTCCTCATTACATTAGGTGGTGCCTGATTTTTATCTATCATAAGTCCCATAGCCTATTAAAGGAGCCTTAGAAAAAAGTTGGATTAACTCTTATTTCTTTGCAGAATATTTTTCTCCCTGAGGTAGATGCATAAAGTATAAAAACTGAAGAAATAGTGTTGAAAACTGCTTGATTCTACAATGATACTTTGGTCCACCTGATAATTTAAAATGTCCAGTACTGGGTGTTGAACTGAATAATAGATAAGTCAATGAATATCAATCCAGTGAGTTTTCTCAAAGTTCATTTAGAGTTTCCCAGCAAAGTGAAAGTTTCACAAAAATAGCTCTGTCATGAGCAGATATATTTAGGTTGAAAGTTGTTGGTCCTTTTTTTTCTATACCCCGTATATGCAACATCCAGTACATTGTTGAGTTCATGTCCTTCAGATTATGAGCTGATGCCTCACTTTTAATCCATGAATGCTTTACCTGTACATTGTTGTTAGTGACTTATTTTGGTTGCAACAGGTGCTTTTGGGACAGCCACAACAGCCCCCAGCTTGTTTGGACAACAACAACCACAACAGCAAACTACAAGCTTCTTTGGACAGTCAACACCAGCCTTTGGGCCATCAACTACCTCCACTGGCTTCACCTTTGGAAATCAGAATACAACAAGCTTGTTTGGACAGAGCAAGTTTGGAGGTGAGTAGAAGCTGAAATTTTTTTATAATTCTGCCTTGTCATATAATCATGACCACCATTTCTCCTCATACTTCCTTTTTGTCCAGCTACAACTCAACCATCATTGTTTGGTGGGACATCACAGCCAAGTGTATTTGGAGGTACTGGCTCTACATTTGGGACCCAGCAACAACAGCAACCAGTAAGCCATTATTCATTTATTTAAACTCTAAGTATTATTATGCAGGAAATTTTTCTCACTGCCAGTGAAAGATAACAGTTTGAAAAGATCTTCAAAATTTTTTCATCTCCTTCAGGGATCTCTCTTTGGTCAGAAGCCACCAGTGTTTGGTGCAGCAACAACAACTGGCTTCACATTTGGGACAAACACACAAACCCAATCAAGCATATTTGGAAATAAGCCAACAGGATTTGGAACTCCATTTGGAAGCGGGACATCAACATCAACTGGATTTGGAACTGCAACTCAGTCTATTTTTGGGAAACCTGGAACCACTCCTAACTTCAACTTTGGGAACACAACTACATCTGCTTTTGGAAACACTGGTACCCATTCATAGAAATTGAGACATGCAACTAGTCTGATATCCATTTATAGAAATCTGAGACGTATAACTAGTGATAATATCTCTAACCATTACTTAGACATTTACCAATGTTGTTTGAACTCTTTCCACACTCAGTAGGAATCAAATTTTATTCAAACCATCCATCGATCACAAGTTGTTTGAATTCTAGGTATTGTTAACTCCTCATTGAGCATTTAATGCACAAGGTAATGACTATGAGACTTTTTAATTACAAGCTGAGGGCAATTTCATGATAGAAATAATGCTTCTTGTTGCACATAATTCAGTCAACTCATGTTATAATGAAGTTGGTGGAATCATCTTACTATCAGGTTTTCATTATATCAAGAGGTCACATATCTCCATTTAGAGGGCTGAATCCATATTATGCCTGTATGTATTTGATTTCATCATCCTGTATTACAAGGGCCCAACAGCTCTTTTGAAGGTTTAATGGATGACAGTATTTTAACACATTAGCTGCCACATACTGTGGGTTACATGGGCTCACAGTTTTAGTGCCAGAAAAATGTATTGGCAGCTTATTTGTTAACCCTTTTCTGGGCAAGGTAAAAGATGAATGTAACCAGGCTAGGGGGGTCCATTGGACCCCCTATTACTTGAAGTATATAGTGGGAGAAAATAGAAGGCAAAAACAAGCTTACCACAAAGCAATGTCTTTCTTTTACTGAATGGATGAATTTCAAAAGTAATGCGACATTATTTTGCATCCCAAACAATTTGTTTTTTTTTTTACTTCAGATGCAATTTGGATTGTAAAACTTAGGTATAAAAATGGGATAATTTCCAATTTTTTTTTTACCTGTTCCACTGTCTGAATTCCACTGCTACTGAATTTCACCTTGATATTTTACTGTATTCTTACCTGTAATTTACCTCAGTTTCATAGTTCCCCTCTTTCTCACCTGTGTTTTTTTAAATACTGTTTTACTTGCACTTACATTTGCCTTTCACCTGTAATTTGTTACCTTCGGGGTACCTTTTACATACGATTTACCTTCTCTTTTCACACATGATGTAATGTTCACCTTATATGACTGGTGTAACATTAATCCTGATGTTGTAGATAAAATAAGTTGGTGTGGTCCCAGACCAAGAATGAAAGCTTGACTTACAAGAAAGTCACATCATGAAATTGTTGCAAACATTATTTATGATGTATATAAGCTTATGGCTTCATGGTCTGGTCATTAGTCTCAGATATCTGAATCCATTTTTGCATTAGCCCATTCTTAGCCTCATAATCTATAGACCAAGAGACAAACTTAGCCTAATGTGAAAAAGAAAAAAGTAACAATACAACACAAAGGAAAATTTTTAAATGGAGCTGAACCACTAACACTGGGTGAGACCAACTTGACGTCATGACTGCTATACCAAACCATATGGGGAATAACGTTATTCCAACACGTCCCACAAGGATGAAAAAGACCAGTGCGAGTGTGCTAGGGGCAACATTCTTTTGGGATTACCCGAATTTCTTAGCGACTCATCTCTTTCGAAGATCCTGCTTGGGGAGGAATCCTTTCCCATGATCCTAAATTAAAATCAGGGGTTCCCCTCTTTCCTCCCTTTTTCTCTCTTACTCTAGTTGTCAGAAGGCCCTTCAGGCAAACATTAAGTGATAAAGCTGTGAAATATGAAGGAATCAGGGGATAAAGTTGTATTTGTGTATATGGAACATAGTAGGGGTCCAATGGTCCCTTGCTCAAATCAAAAAATTATTTTTTCTTACATTTAGAAAATTTTCAGGTGGTGATGTTCTGGCATCAGGGTCTCCTTGACTTAAAGGACAAATACTAAAAATTACAGAAAAATGTATGCAAGGGTTTGAATGCTATTTATAATTGTGGTCTAGGGGTCCAACAGAGCCCCCTTGCCTGGATAAGGGTTAAATGTGCAAAAGCCTTCAGTGTTCACAGGGATTACACCTCCCAAAACCCTATTAAGTGTAACACACAGGATGAATGGGAACCTGATGAGAAGCTTAACATGAATACTGAAGTGCTTCATTCACTCCCATTGCATGTGTTCACATCACCTGGCACATGCACATTTGCCTACATTCACATTCCCCTCACATCATACACATTCTATATGTGCCAAATCTTTCATTCTCATAGCCCATACAACTGAAGCACTGAGGTGAAGGGCTGGATGGAGGCAAGAACTGACCCTTCTGCATTTCCATCACTAGAGAAATCTTTACCTCTCAATGGTGGAATAATTAATTATAACCAGTGTCCTTTCTGCCTGGAAACACAAATTCTTTCATTTTATCTGAAAATGCAGCATATCCAATTTTTTATATTTGAATTTTTTAAAGTATGGGTGGTGTCTATGGATGTTCAACCAGGTAATGTCAAGGGTTTCAGTATAATTTTTTTTTTATATCTCTGTTTGTCATGCCAAGAGTTGACTGCACTGATTAGAAAAATGGGTGTCTATATTCATATTCTTAATGAATAACTGCATCCTTCAGATAAACCTGGAAGAGAAGAAGAATCATGAAAACAGGTCCTTGTTTGGTTTTGCTATGAATATGCTTCATGAGGTGTGATTTCTATTAAAATATTATTATGCTTTTCCTTCACACCTTTGTTTAATTGATTTGTCTGCTATATTTCTTAGAGGAGGCTATTATTAGTCTAGTGTCTTTGTTATTTATGTTTCATGCACAAAGATATTGTTCATTTCAATTAGGCTTGCTTGAGTGCATCAGTATTTTTTCAAACTGACTGACTTGGATATCTGAGGATTTGACTTTTGGCAGGAGTTCATTGGTTTCTTATGCATTAAATGCATGTGAAAATGCTATGTCTTTTTGCAGGATTTGGAACCTCTGGAAATACTGGAGGGACCTGGTTTGGAAATACTGCCAATAAGACAACTGCATTTGGAACAGGATCAACTTTTGGCACTGGGACTTTTGGAAGTGGGACCAGTGGAGGTTTCTTTGGTTCTCCAGGGACAGGTTTCCCTACTGGCTCCACTGCTGCACCATTTGGGAGGTATGATTCCAGACCCTTTGCATGTTTCTACATGTTTGAATTAGTTTCTTTCTGGTTCCATAAGAACTGTTTTCATCATTATAGTACAACTGGGCAACTGCAAGGGAATAGTCAGTCAAAAGAACTTCTCCAGCAACAGATTCTTTCTTTGGCTGTCAACCCCTTTGGTGACAGTCCTCTCTTCAGGAACATTCTCAAGGTATGTTCTCGTCCTTTTTTCTGGATATATGAAGACAGTGAGTTAAATAGGATATCTATTGATGGTCAGCTTTTTTTTATTCCTTTTCAATCAGGACACAGGCAAGAGAGATGAGTTGTTAAAACCAACCAATCCTGCAGCTCAGCAGGCATTCACAGGGAGTCCTTCTTACAAGATTGGCACACAATCTTCACCTGTTGTGCGGCCAAAGCCCATGACCCACTCTGTGAATGGAAAGGTCTTTAATTGGTCCATTTCATTTTCCCTCATGCATATCTATTTCATTGGTGTGGCTGATTTCATCTTTCTTGATACAGATTTAACCCCTTCCCTGGCAGACCTGGAAATTTCTTTCTTCCTTTTGTATCTCAAAATTCGCCTGTAGAGGTGTTTAGTGATTGCTTTTTTATTTATTTGGATGGAATCATTTCAAAAGAGAGTTTTTTTTTTTCTCAAGACTGCATCCTCAGATAAATAGGTTTCTGTCCATCAGACCAAATTGCATCATGGGCCTACTGGCTCATCATAGTCTCTAAACAAAAAAAGGTTTTAGGCCTTCAGGAAGCAATACTGAAGTTGAGATATGGTTCCCCAATCTTTCTAGGTATCCCTCTTTGATGACATTGAAGATGAACGGGCAAATTTTGGCCAGGCTATGTTTGTTCCACGACAAAATATAAAGAAGTTGGTAATCAAGCCACAGCCATCCCAGTCAAGTTCTACTTCTTCAACAAGGGAAAAATTCCCTGTTGCGGCATCTCCTTCACGTTCTCAGAAACTTCTCACTGTCCCCATTTCTGACTCTTCTGATATGCTATCACCAGACAACTCCATCTGTGTCCCAACTGTGGATTCAACACTAGACACTCCAGCAACAGTAGTCAGTCGGTCTGGCAAGAGCCTGTGCGTGATGACCCTGAGATCTTTCATATCACTTGGTGGAGAGCTGTGTGTAGGAGGAAGTGGCATTTGATTTATTATGGGTGTTCACAGAAGGTCAAGTGGAGGAGATGAAGTATTGGAGAATACAGTGTCAGAGTACAATGCTCGCAGACCAGACCTGCAGAGGACAGAAGCAGACATTACTTTAGATGAATCCCAGCAGTCAGTCAATGGTATGTTGCTCTTTCCTTCCAGGTACTGAGTAGCAGGCATGTTTCTCATAGTGATATTTTGATCCAATTCTGATTATGATGTGTTACCAATGTCTCAGAGCTTCAAGAAGATGATGAGAATATTCAACCCCATCCAGCTGGTATCACCTTAAGAAGACCAGGCTATTATACCATTCCAAGTCTTGAAGAGCTTGCTTCCTCAGTTGATTCTACTGGAAAGTGCATTGTCAGTGGTTTCACGATTGGTCGTGAAGGATTTGGTTCCATAACCTTTGATGCCACTTTTGATGTTGCCAACCTCAACCTTGATGAGATTGGTAAGAAGAAATTTTATTTGAATCCCTTCATGTGCTGAATCTAGATACCAGGTGGCACAAAAAAGTATTTTGTTTTACTCTTTATAAGGCCTACTGTAGAAATGCTAGGTTGGTCAATTTTATGCATTCACAGAGGAAATTCTAAAAAAATTTGTTTTCTGGAATATTAAAGTCTCCACGTTGTTTGGATAAAGACCAACAGCTGTAGAAACCAAGGTAGGAAATTTTAGTTTTTCCATGTTTCAGGCTGCACTGGTTTCAGCAATGTCCAGTTCCAGCAGCAAGTGATGTGTTTTATTTGTCACCAAAGTAGTTTTTTTTATTGCTGCATCCCTGGTGTCATATTCTTGACTGTGCAGTGTCATGTCACAGTTGACCAAGGAAGATGTGACATGAAATTAAATATTTCAAGCAGTGCTGAAAACACTCCAGCTTAATATGTGGAAAGCTTAATATTTATTACTGATATTTGATTGACCATTGCTTATTATTTAAATGACACTACAAACTTTTAAGAAATAAAACTGGAGTGCCATCTCTGTGATGCAAAAAAAGAGAAACCTAGCATTTCTCTAGTCAGTTTTATGAAGTGCTAAGCAGTGGGTTTTATTTGTTTTTCCATCACCTGGTGTAATCCTATAGATTGCACAAGCACAGTGCAGTAAGAATGTTCTCAATACAGTCAACTCTTGTGACAAAGTTTATGAAGCTGCTGGAATTATTTTGTTGTATTGGGTTTTTGTTAATCAGTAGGGGGTCATAGGTCTCCAATTAGAGATCTGAATCCATATTATGCCTGTATATACTTGATATCATTATTCCATGAGTGTATTATTGGCACCTGACAGCTTTCAAGGGTTTCATGGATAATAATATGTTAGCTTCCACATATCCCACCAGAAGTCATATGGCCTCCCAGTTAAAGCATTGGCTTTAACATTGACAACTAACATCTTGAATGTGTAAAAGCCTCCACCATGTAATGGTCATAGACCTCTTGAAGTCATATAAAATGAAATTTGTGCAAGATGAATTTTGAGAGATTTGTGCAAAGGAACCAAATGAAAAGCTGCTGAGTTCAAGCATTGAAGTGCTTCATTCATTCACATTACCTGTGTTCATATCCCCCACCCCAAATGCACATTCAGAGGGAGAAAAATATTTTCTTTTCCTCTGGATGGGGAGAAATTCATTATATCCTGTGTACTTTCTATCTTGGGACAAAAATTATTTCAATATATCTAAAATTTCTTAATGTTTGATTTCATGATATCATAATTTTTTAGCATGAATGTCTGTGATCAGGCAACATCAAGGATTTTGGCATGACCAGTTTTTCATAATATCTGTGTTATACCAAGAGTTGACTGTTTTTTACCATTCACTGAGTGAAACTTGACATTTTTATATGAACATAAAGCATTTACATGTCATCTTCCAACTCATTTATGCTTTGATAGTTCATATTCGGAGAAAGCAAGTCATTGTATATCCATATGAGGAGAAGAAAGCTCCAATTGGAGAAGGCCTTAATCGAAAAGCAGAGATCACTCTGGACAAGGTGTGGCCAGCAGACAAGACCACACGTGAGCCAATTGCATCACCAGAGCGACTCCAGGTCTTGCATTATGCTGAGAAAGTTGAAGCAGCTACTCACAGATTGGGAGCTCGATTTATTGACTATCGACCAGAGACAGGCTCTTGGGTTTTTGAAGTAGGTTGCTAAGACTTTTCTTGTTATGATGGATGCAGGAGACAAATGGGAATGAATGTTTAAAAAAAACCATAACTAATCCTGTTTTCAGGTTCAGCATTTTTCCAAGTATGGATTGGAGGAAGAAGATGAGGAAGTGGAAGAACCAATTCAGCAGCCGCGAAGAGAACAAATGGGTGCCACTGGCATACAACATACTCCTCCCCCTCCTCCTCCTCCAAACTCTCAAATGCAGACAAAGATACCACCTTTGAAAATACCTAAGTCAACACAACAGGTAGTACATAAAGAATATTCCTTTAATGTAAAATTCTCAGTCTCTTCATGCTTTTAATTTGAGAAATTCTTTCTTGCAGGCTAATGGTCATGTACATGTGATGAATGGACACAGGGACATGGCACCTCTTTCCTTTGTGGAGAAAGGTGCTAATGTGCTACAAGACTCTGAAGAAGATGAAATTATGGATGATCCTGATTGCCTTCAAGGTAATGAGCATTTTTATATGCTGATTACACTTGCAAATATAAAAGCATCATCCACTATCTGGCAATGTGACAACTTTCATAATGGTTTTTCTTGCAGATACAGCAACAGCCATACTGTCACCACCTTCACACAAGTTTGCTGCTCGTATTGGAGCAATTCCAGATCGTGTCCAAGCCATGAAGGCAAGTTTCTTCTGTCATGAGGGTGAGGAAGATGATCTTCAAATCAGAGGATTTTCACCTCTGGGGCATCCTGGTATGGGAAAGCCTTTTGCCAGAGATTTACTAACACTACCTACCAGAAGACTGAAGAAGCCTTCTTCTGTCTCTTCTTCTCATGATGGTCAGCCTTTTCCTTGTAAATTATCTTTTTTTGCTGAAAGGTTCCTGAATTTTCATGTATCTAGCTTCTTCATTTTGTAGATGAGAGGAGCACATCATTTGGGAGTGACATTGAGGAAGATGAAGAAGACAGTGAAGATAAACATTTATTCTCCTTCAATCCTCCTCAGATTCAGATTGAAGAAGAGAAGAAAAGTGGCAGTGATGAAGAGGAAGAAGGGGACTCAAAATTTAAACCAGACTTCAATTTTTCTGCAGGGGAGAAGACTGCCTTGAAGTCTCCCTTCATCTTTTCAGCCCCTTTTCAACCATCACCTCTTCCTTCTGGGACTCTTTTCAAGGAAGCAATAGTGCCCCCTCATATCTCTGGTAAGCTGTGTACAGAGATCTTTAGCCCCCTCATGCTGGAAGAGTTTATTTAAATTAATGATTCTGCTGTAAACTATGTGAGAGAGGCCTAAACACTAAAGTTTATGTGCTCCAATGCAATTAAGAGCACATACAGTGAGTAATAACAGTGATGTTAGAAACTATTTAAATCAAGTTTTGTTTATTTATTTCATAACTGATGCAAGTGTAAATTCCTAAAAGAAATGGCTGCAATTGTGACTAGGTATGAGGTGGTCAATTGACCACCTTTTAATTGACTGCTCTTTTTTTCCTGTGAATCAACAAATTTTAAAGAGTTCATAACTGTGGTCATTCATCCTCCAGCTCTAAAACCAAAGAGCCTGTTCCATTTTAATGTTATATTAATGCAGCCCACCAAACATCTGGACTGTGACACTTGTTGGGTATGAAAATATTATATCAAATGCTCAAATTACCATGACCTCTCACCTGAATGGTGTAGAGTGTGTATAGGCATAGCTTGCTGTTTAAGGTGTTCCAGCCTTAATGTATTTGAAAGTTATGGTTCAAGAGTAAAGTAACAGCTTTAGAACTTTAGTTTAATGCAAGGTCTATCATGGCCTTTGCCAATAGTCTGCATCAGAGTATCAAATCATTCTCAGAGTCTGTGATCAAGGGACAAATACTTGGATTATGCCTAGGCCTAAACCTAAAAACCTTATTTTCCATAATAATCTGAGTGGGAAAAGTCATTGGGGGAGAAATCTGTAAATCTCTATGGAATAAATTTTCTCTGTACTGTATTATCTCTCTGGTTAAAGTTGTAATCCTTCAGTTATTGGTCATCCTGTTTCACCAATTGAACACAGCAGTCCTCCTTTTTTTAGGGAAAGAAGAAGAGAGGAGAGAAGTGATGCAAGACCATCCACGACTTGTAGTTACCCTCCCAAAAAAAGCAGAACGAGAACTTCGGAAGCTTCCTCGTCTAAACATGAATTTTGGTTCTTCTGTTCCTTCCTTGAAAAGTGCCAGACTCTCATCAAAAGTGAGAAGTACTGTAGACATGGGCTGTAGTTCAGGCCGTTCATTTTGCGTCGGTTGGGGACCACGCCAGGTTTTGCTCGTGCCAAAAATCAGAACTTGTGAGACTCTTGATTCTTCTGTTGTACCTATTGAATGAGTTGTATTCTTGCACATTCAAAGCACATCTTCCTTCTGTTTGCCAGTATCAGGGGCAAAGAGTAAGAGAATACAACAGAAGCCAATGTCCTCAGGGGCTGTTGTCAGCTCCATGCCATACTCGGTTCTTGTCCAGAAGCTCATGTTACCTCATGGTGATGAAGAACCAACCAGTAAAGTGAGCTGATGACTTGGTCTGAAGGTTGATTTGTCATCCTCTTGGATTTATCTTTTAGGCTATATCATCTCTTTTAGGCAATTCACAGTCGCATGCTGGAGGTCCAGCTGCTCCATACTACCATCAGCAATCAACATGGTTCACCTTCAGCTTGCCCTATGCAAGGAGCAGATATCCTTCATGCTCTACAGGAAGTCCTGAAAGATCTAATTGAATCTGCAAAAGTGGATTTGGACAGAGAAGTGTTACTGGCTTTGAAAGTGGAAATGGAGATCTGGAGACTTTGTGTGGCTCTTTGGGGGAAAAGTGATATCTTTGGATGGAATGAGAGTGCGTTATATTGTTTTTCAGTAGTTCATGACTGTGCATAGTGGTTTGTCTAGATTGATTTGGAGATGTACCATTCTACCATCTTTTTAGGGAAAGGAAGCCATGCCAATGAAATGGCAAGGAGAGAGGCTGTGAGCCAATGGTTGAAGGAGGTTAATAAAAATGCATCTGCAACAGCTTTGCAAAAGATTGGAAAAGATATGCCCACTCAAATGAGAGCTCTCAGAGAGTTTTTAGTGCATCTTTGTAACAATGACTCTGTCGAAGCTTTCAAGGCTGCCAAGCAAGCAGGTGCAAAAGATACAACTTTTATGTTTTTCCTATTTTTTCTTATTTCTGGACTCATTTTTACATCTCATTTAAACCTTATAGGAGTGCCAGAATTGGGGAAGTTGATGGGAAGGAATGGGATGGATGGAAGTGTTAGAGATGCTGCCCTTCATCAGTTGAGTTTGTGGCTCAACAATAGAAGAGATACAGATGTGACATTAGTTCAGGTCCATTCTCTCATGGCTGGAATTCCTACCTGGGTTACTTCTTCTCAACAAGTTATGAATGTATGTGATGGGCTCACATGGAGACAATGTTTTTCCCTCCATCTCTGGTAAGGATATTTCCTCCCATTCCTAGGCCAAATGCCTAGAAGTGGAGCAATTAATCTTCAGTCCAATGTTCGTCCCTCAGGTATATGAATCCAGGAGGAACTCTGCCTGAGACTGTGAAAATGTTTGATGATGGGTATTCAGGAAGGAGCCGCCATGGCATCTACATGGAACCTCCATACCCTCATTATCATGATGAAATTGGGAGGGAGATATTTGATATGGCATATCACCTTCTCAAACTGTATGCTGACAAATCTCATCGTTTGGAACTGCTCCTTGACCCCAATACTCTTTATCCAAATCTGCTTGATCACAGAATGAGGTGAGGAACTTTGCATCTATGGGTCCAATGCCAATTTTTGAGTATGACAATTGACCTCTGCAAGCCACTGTGGGTGGCTTGGGCTGCTGCTACATAGTGATGGGAAAATTCATAATGTTATGGGCTTGGCCTGATTTTATTTTTTAGATATCTTCATTGTGAATATGAAAGTTGCATACTAAGCTTGCAAAGGCATCTCCACATGATGGAGTGATGGTTGCTGTAGTCTGTGGAACTATCCATTGGAAAGGTCACCTCTTTTAATTCCATAAATAATGAGAATTATAGATAATTCAATGAATTATAAATGAAATAAGAACTTGCATAATAATGGTGGTGTTTGATTTGCTCATGCTAGAAAGTGGCTTGAATCATAACCCACTTGCTCTGTAAATGTTACTGACTTACAAATGCATATGTGATATGGTTCCTGCTTGACATGTGAGAAGATACTGTGTTGAACCTAGCATCATCAGTTTGTGTGTTTTGTTTCTTTTTAGTTGGCTGTTGTGGGCTGCTCTGGAAAGCCAAGGCTATCATCATCTTTCAGAGACAAGCACGTATAATCTGATTGTTTCATATGCAAATGAGCTAGAGACTTTGGGCCTGTGGGAGTGGGCTGTGTTCATCCTCATGCATATCCCTCATACTGGCCGGTATTTATATTTCTTTCTTTAGTCAGTTTGGGAGATTTCCTATGCCATGATACCAATTGATAATTTTTTTTGTTTGATAGGAGAAAGCAAGTCATTCAGCAGCTCCTTGATAGGAATGTGAGCATTGAAGACACTAATGAAGATGCCCATCGGGAAGGCTTCCTGATTTCCCAACTTCAAATCCCAAGAGACTGGGTATATGCTGCAAAGGCTTGCAAAGCTCATGCACTCCAGAGGTAGGTTGGACTGTAATTAGGGCTCAGAGTATTAAGGGTAAACCTAATCATATATGTCTGTAATCAATTTTATTTTCTTTGGGATACATTCATGATGTCCTGGTGATAATCCTTCCATGAATTTTTCCTGCTGAGTGTGCTTTTCAGGATATATAGACCTACACCTAATGCATTGACATTTCATACATTGGCATAGCCAAATATATATATATTTGGGGGTGAATATTGAACATTGTAGGTAATGTGTTCACTCATAGTCTGGCTCATAAATGTGGTGGAAAGCTGGGGGAGGAGGATCATTGGTCTATTCTGGACATTGTTTTCTATGCAATTCAAGCTACTATTGAGCTGGACAGAAATATTCTGATTCCCCAAGAATTTGCAATGACTTACTAGAAGGTTTTTCAATAATTCTTCATATATTTCATATAATTATTCATGATATGGTATCATTTGATCTAATGTGAGAGCAGTTCTGATCCTTGTCATTATTACTAATAATGATGTAACAGTAGACTAATATTGGGTAGTTCAAGCTGTTGGTAGTCTCTGGTCATTTCTCATTTGTAGCCCTGGTGATTTTAATATGCTATTCTCAATGTGTTCAGCCCATAACACATCTATGTAATATCACCAAAGGGTGAGATTGTAAAGAAGGCAATGATATAATTCTGGAGCATGGAATGTACTGTGTGATATGTACAGGGTGGTCCACAATTGTCTCCCCAAAAGTAAATGCTTATTACTCAGAAAGTATACATCCAATTTTAATTATATATAGTTTAAACGATAGCCAATTCAATATATTTTTTGTGTGGAAAACTTCAGCATTCTATGTGAAACTAGAACAAAGTTACACCATAACATATGAAAGTACCCATATTGTGGAACTAAAGCCTGTAAATATCACAATTCCTTCTGAAATTCGCAATTTCATCTTGAGTCTCGCAATTTATTCATGGGTTTTTCATCCATCGCAAAGGATTGTCTGTGTCATGGGCAACCTTATTATCCTGCAGAAGACTAATATTTCTCCTTGGTTCAATAATTTGAAGAGAGCAAATTTGTGCAGGGAAAAATTGAAAAATTTTCAGTTTTGGTCCAAATGTCTCAGTTCCTGATGAAAAGATCATGAAGGCAATTCATAAGAGGTGTCTGAACCTGAAGAGATTTGTTGGCAGACCTATGACTACCTGGATATGCTGAAACAGGCCATTAGAGATGTCTTCGCCACAGTAGTATCAGAGATGATTGAAAGAAGTCTGTTGGCATTCTAAGAGAGACTTCACCAAGTCATTGAAAATTGTGGAAGTCAAATTGAACACTAGAGATTTGGGTGCTTTCATTCCAACTTTGTTTCAATTTGATATAAATTGTTGAAAATTTTCAGGATAAAAATATATTGAATTGGCTATCATGAGAGCTATATATCACTGAAATTAGATGCATACTTCCTGAGTAATAGGCTTTTACTTTTGGGGAGACAATTGTGGACCACCCTGTACACTCAGTTGGAGCTAATGATTTATCTTTGAAAAGGAATTGTTCTACATGCCTTTGGTGTTAAATTTAGTTTCTGGATTTCAAGATTTCACCAGAGGTATGTGAATTGCAGATAGCTTGTACTGAATGGTACCTGCCATGGATACAATTCACACCACTACTGTTTAATCTGAGGAGCACATGTCTTTTGTAATGTAGGTGGAAAGAGGAAGCTGTCTACCTGCTACAAGGAGGTCAGTTGAACCGAAGTCATGAGCTTATTGTGCATCACATAGCACCAAAAGCCATCCTTGAAGGTGAGCTATATTGCAGAATTGCAACAGAAGAAATCATTAGTATATCTTCAGATACAGGTCAATGATTGACTTTCATCCTGTAGTATGCCCAGTGAAAGAGCAAAAGTTTTGTTGATCAATTATTGAAATCCAGGGTTTGAGACAAGATTGAAGTGGTTTAGTTTGGCCTCCTGGTTAAACATAGTGAGCTTGAATGAGGGACAGTCAAAGTATGCCATCATACTCCTATGGTTTCATGGCACTTTTTTTTAATTATATATTCAAACTTATTTTTCATTGTCATGAAGCACTGACTAAGATAATCCATAAATCAAAGATAATGCTGATATGATTATCTAGAAATGGAAAGTAGCATCAGAAAGCAATGCCACTTGCTTTTTTTTTGTTCATGTAAGGTTTTTTGCTGCAATAAGATACTTCCTGAAAAATGTCTTTTTCAGAAAGGTAATTTTAATCACCCCTCATGCATCTGAACACACAGTCATTTGCTGTAAACATGATCCTCATGATTGAATGATTTTCATACCTGCAGCCCATACCATATCCATCATATGCTATACTGTTGATTAATCAATATTCCTTCCTACTATTTCTTTTGACCAGTATGAAGTCATATCAGCAAACATTCTGTTCATATGAGAAAAGAGTTGGGTGTGAAATGAGTATTTACTACTCTAGGTCTTTGCTCACAAGATGAAGTAGGGTAGTTCTTTTTGTGGGAAAGAGACATTTGAGTCCAGTGCAATGCCACATCCACTTACACACTTATTCCTCCCCCTTTTTTTTATGGAGTGAGGGAGCAGTTGCATCAACTTCAGCATTTTGAAAACTGGCTGAAGGAGCAGATACTGCCATGTCATCAGCTGATGTATCAGTACTGCCCTAGATAAGATAACTTGCTAGAAAATCACCTTGCTTCCCTAATCTAACTGAAGTTGTCCATAACTCATAATGGTTCTTTCTGACATTCCTGCTATCCTTGATAACAGTGGTAAGGTCCAAATTGGTCAACACAGGCAAGTCTTAAGGTGCTGTATCTACTCTACAGGTGATGAAGCAGGACTGAAGGCTTTACTCACTGAGTTGCGTGATCATGAGAAAGCAAGAGAAATCTCAGATTGGGACATTGGTGGTCAGCTCATTCTTGATTTCATCAACTTGACACATGAGCTTCAGGTGAGAAATTAGTCAATTACTTTTCCATTTTACACCCAATCACAGAAAGTCACTTATTTCATACCTCTGAATTTCTTGGGAATGAGTGGCTCAGTAATTTTTGTGCACATGTGCTGGAGGAAGAAATGTCCAAGTAGGATGCATTCTTGGGGAATTGAAAAGTTCTTGATTGTCCTTATTTTGGATGGACTATGATGTGCAGGGTAGCTCTTACAGCCAAACCTCCATGTATAGCAGTACATCCACATATTTTTTCTTTTCTGTTCACAGGAAGATTTTTAGCCGTCCCGTCCTTGAACCAAGACAAATATACCCTCTCTTCATGCCCACAGCAACCAATATCTGTAACATTATTATGCAAATATTCCATCATCACTTGAATGCTTTTCTTTACTGTTACCCCTAGTTACTTTTTGTGAATTCAATGAACTCTCAATAACTCGAAGTTCAAGGGAAATTTGAGTTATAGAGGTTTTTTTTAAATATTCTATGCTCTACAACATTGTACATACAATGCAATAATGCAAAACTTGCAACTCATGTTAACATAATCACCTTTAAAAAGTCAGGCAGGAGAGTTTGGAATGTTTTTGTGGCACCCTCACATTTGACTATATTTTCCAAGTGAGTGATTGTGTCAAAAGTCTCTTGTCAAACCAGATGTGGCCTTAACATAGCTCTGCAAAATTCCAATACCATGAGATTATACCTGTGGTTGACAGCAAGATTCACGTACACTGACTGACTGCTTGACACCAGGGTGCAGTACCAATAAGGTCTATGCACAAGTACCCTATGCCTTATTGCCCCCTTGACCTTCCCAACTGGTCAGGGTGGGAACCGAAGATGTGCATAATTGCATTCTTAGGTTAACCAAGTCTGCATAAAGGGTAGTTATGTTGATGGATCATTCAATACAAATTCAACCAATATAATATAACATGACGCCTGACCATCCCGCATTTAGGGATAAAAAACTCTAAGCAATTGCAGTTGATCTAACATCCCAGGATAAGAGAACCGCCTCCATCAGATCCATGGTTAACATATCACCCCAAAATTTGGGGGAAAATGGCAAAATTTCCATCTCAGAAACGGTTCATCACATGGAAGCAAGCAATAGCTTCAACCTGAGCTCTTTAGTAGCTGAACAATTTGCTCCATTCATAATTGCAGTTTGAGTGAGATTTCAGCATCATAGTTGAATTCTAAAATTTAGGCAATTTTCACCCCAAAAGCATCTGCTAAAAACTTGAAGATTCTAAAGATTCACTTTTTCTTCAAGTGACTGTATATTGTCATGTGATGAATCACTAGAAAATTTTTAAAGAGTCTTTAGAGCTCTATGCAATGCTATTGGTTCAACTTGTCAGTATGCTGATTTTCTTTGCATTACACATTTTGCTCACTAATGCATAGGGATGTTGAGGTTGTGTGACATTTTGAATCTCATGATGATGAATCCTCTTACATATAACTGTGATTTATGCAAAACACTATTTAGTGCTCTGAAAGACCTTTGCAGCAACATATCATACAACCATATTCAGCCACTTGAAGAAAATGGGAATTATTGGAATATTGGCTTTGACAAATTGCATTTTTTTAAATACAAAATGGCTCAGAAAATCAGATATTGTTGGAAAGATCTTAAGCTCCCCTTTCTAATGACACCATTTTTATAGGTGCTCTGTCACATTGAAAAATAATCAATTGAAGATAACCAAAAAGCAGGAAATTCCAATCTTGAGGTGAAGTTTTCTGCGTAGCCAGCAAAAAATTTTAAAAAGTAACTTGCTTTATTGATGCACCTGAGAGGAGTAAAATAAACTGTAACGAGAGATTTGTCCTTTCCCTCACCACATAGGGATGTTTCTGGGGTGAAAATTGCCTAAATTTTGCATTTTCAAACTCAACTATGATGCTGAAACCTCCTTCAAACTCTAATGATGTATGAAGCAAATTGTTCAGCTATTAAAGACCTCCAGTTGAAGCTATTGCATGCACTGGTACTAGGAAACATTCCTGGGATGGAAATTTAGCCATCCAAGGGGGTTTTCCATTATCCCCTAAAGTTCGGGGGTGATATCTTGCTAACTGCAGATCCAATGAAGTCTATTCCTTTTTTCAGGGGATGTTAGATTGACTGTAATTGTTTAGGATTTTATCCCAAAATCCAAGATGATCAAGTGCACTGCACTTGATCATCTCAGATCATCAGGTGGAGTTCGTATGGAATGACCTCAATGTAAAGTTTGTCTGTGTATTTGTACAAAAAAAATATGAACAGTACAGGAATTAATTTTGAGTTATCAAGAGTTGACTACTTTCCTTCCTTTTTCTCTTGAGTTCCCCTGATTTTCCTGAGTGTATATATTTTTTATATTTTGGCAGAAAATATTGCTCTCTACATTGACAAACTTTTTTTTTTTTAGGATGCTCTTGTAGTGACTAGCCCAGGGAAAGTGAAGGAATTGCAACCTGTGCTAACATCTGTCTCAGCTCGACTCTTGCGATTTCCTCCCATCTCTCCATTGAACAGGTGAGGGTTTTTTCCTCACTCAAGCAAGATCCAGGATGTGAGTAATAAAAAACAATATTTGGCACCAATTGGTCATTTCCATGTTCTTTTTGACAGGGAGTGCAAAGCTAGGATGGCATCAGTGCTGACAGGTCTAGTCCAGGATGTTTTAGCTTCAGAGAATCCCAGAACATCTCATTCAGCATATTCTCCTTTCTCTTTGAGTCAAGAATTTCCCCAGACAGCAGAAGACCATACCGGTTCTGGCTTCCTCCTACAGCTCAATTCCCAGTTGATGATGTGTGACTCAGAAGCTGTCAGCTAACATTTCCTTTTCTCCAATCCTTTTTCCCTGTTTTTTCTGCTGCCACCATTTCATGCAGAGTGCTTCCCAAAATATTATATCAACTCCTTGCTTGTTGATTTTCCCTTTTTTTCATGAGGTGATCGAGTGTGATATTAGGTGGATTTGAAAGGTTAAAGGAGATGTGATATTTTTTTTCCAAGTTTTGGATTGAATATACCAAGAATGGCTTCAGGCCTCCCCTTGGTGAGTTTGTCTCTTTATCAAAGTACAAAAAGGGTGTTGATGAGATTTTGGAAGCACTCTGTATAGTGATAGTCATTTTGAGGTTAAGAATTGTATGCTTATAATTTCTGTGCTCCACTTGAACTATCGTGGAGAAGTGACCTCATCTGTCTGTGCAGTGGTTGTTGTGGACATTTGCATTGCAAAGAGAGCAAAACAATTCCAAGTTGGCATTGACACTGTTTCAAAATAAAGGAAGATACAATTGATATGAAGAAAATGATTTTTCATCGTATTCATTTCATTCCATTCAGATAAGGAAATTCATTTGAACTTTCAAAGGCTCTTGAATGCTCCACTTGCTATGTACTGTTCTATAAATCATTATTCCTGCATTCACTGTATTATCAGACAGGTTCCTGCTTCCGGCTTGCAGCAATGCTCGAAATATAGTCTGTGATCTTCTCAAGATGAACAACTTCTGCCTGCAGTTTCTCTTTCTCAATTCGTAGCTTCTCCAATTCTGATTCTTTTTTCGAAATGATGATCTCCTTCTCTTTGATTGTCCCTTCTTGGGATTGAGTCAATAGTTCCATTTCATCCAAGTTCTATAGTGAGGGAGATAAGAATAAGAAATACAAACATTTCTTTTCCATATCAAATTCAGAAAAGACAGAAGCTCATGAGTAAAAAAACAAGACTCACATCTTTCATATGCTTCATGGAATCTTGCATCTTTTTGAGCATATGTGTTTTCTCTGATATATGCTGCTGACTAAGCATCAAATCCTGTTCTTTGGTTTCCAACTTTTGCTGCAGCTCTGTCAAGAAAACATTAGAGTTTTTGTTACCTGTTTTTGAGGATGGGGACGCGAAAGAATTACTAGGCATTCAAGTTCTAGATTTTTTAATGGCAGTCTGGCTATGCATTCCAGATCTGGAACAGAGAGTAACATCCATGAATCTCACCGTAGCTGGTGTGTAAACGACACCTAATTTAAGGGTATGGTCGACACAGCTAAGGTACAACCTGGTAAACTCACAAATCCCAAGATATCCAAAGGTTATGCATATCCCCCTTGTTTTGATCTACTGCAAGTAAATTTTCATTCCTTAACACGTTAACGACCAGCCTATTTTTGTTTGTCCGCCACGCGGGACCACGCGCATTTCTTTTGTCAAAAAATGCGTCCTGCCATCAGGACGCATGGTCCCAGAAAACATTTTTTTTTGCAGTTTTTTTTAAATGTTGAANTCAAAAAATGCGTCCTGCCATCAGGACGCATGGTCCCAGAAAACATTTTTTTTTGCAGTTTTTTTTAAATGTTGAATTTTTTGGAATTTTTATCAGTAATTACGAAATCATAATCTTCTGGAACGTTCTCAACAGTTCCAGAGGGTTCATTGAAAAAAAATCTGCATCCTGGCATCAGGACGCATTGTCGCCAACGTGTTAAGAAGAGTTTTCACAATAGGAATGTATGTCTCAGTTTGCCTATTGGACTAACGTTCTTGATTCCTTTGTCTCTTCATAATGGTTGCATGTAGACATTGTAATCCTTGGCTACAACCAGAGTTCCTCTGTCCTATTTTCCCATCATTCACCCAATAACATATTATGCTTCCTTTCTGTCTGTCTCTCATGGCAAAGTAACCAAAGTTCATGTCTGGGTTGCATCCTACTTCTCTGATGGCAAAGAGGACATGTCAGTTGCTGTCCTGGGAGATATTTGGCTGAAACCAAAGTTGTGGATGTGAGTCAGTTGTCCAGAAACCCATCTCATTCTCGTTCTTGATTCGTGGATCTTTGGTTGGTAGAAAATTATTTTACCTTAGCTCAGAGTACAGTTGGTCCTTGGTGTGAAGCCATAGTTTCCTTTCTTATACAAGAGAAAATTTTGAAATTTTACAAATGAAAACTAGGGTATTTTAAAAACTGATCTAACTGATGAGAGTTCAAGGTTGCAACTGCTCCTGTTTAATGCATATTGAACTGCCACCTTTTGGATGCTTTTAATTATAACACCAGGTAGTACTTGAAAACTGTAAAACAACTTCATTTTTATTTGTGGAAGTGACTTCATTGGAGCAAAGCTGCAGACATGTATAACCCTCCTTCAGGAAAGGAATTATTGGTTGACTGATGCTGTAGTTGACAAGTGGTGTCACTAATAAGCATATGTTGCTATAAAGTATAGGGGATGCTTCATGACCTGGAAGCACAATAACACTTACTTTTCCCAAGTAGTTGGTATATAGCCAGTTAGAACAGGCTTGTATTTGTTTTCAGGGTCAGTGGTGCAATCTTGATTTGTCTACCTCATTTACTTTCATGGTAATAAGGGGTAATAATACAGGGTGTTCGTATTTAAACGCAACATAGGAAATTTTTGCTGCCCATTTGTGGAGTTCAGGGCATCCTTATAGGATGAAACCTATCCCTGGTGTGTTTCCTTTCAGATATGCAACCCAGTTGGCTTTATAGCATTCATTGAACTCCACCTATAGGCAGCAAAATATTCCCTATTGTTGCATTTAAGTACAGACAACGTGTATGAATTCCTCCCCCGCAAAATCTCAGCAGTCAGGATTAAAGATGAAAATTAAAGTTTAACCTTTTTTTTATTTACAATTGATAATTATACTTTTGCTTTTTCTCCAACGGTTATATGAAGTATTATAATTCCTTAGCTAACCAAATTGTGTCATTCAAAAGGCTGCAGAACAAACAGACACCCTCTTGTTCTGTTGCATTCAAAGTTAACATTTATTTCCTTCTACATTTACATTTTTGTCATTTAAGTGATGGTAAAAATGCAGCCTGCTTTTAGATGGCAAGTAATTCATTTTTGACACAATACCTACTGGTTTTCATAATTGAAAGTGAAGGTGTATCATTGCTGCACATCAAGAAATTGGTGTTCAAGGTGAAATTTTAGCAAGTGGGAAATAATGTCAGCAGGCTTAGCATACTGAAACATTACTTTGGGACCCTACATCTGTATTTCAAGATTTCTCCTAACATTATATAATTTGTAATATAGGAAATGGATAAGTGATCTAGTGACAGAGTAAGGTACTTGGGGTATGTTGTTAGATGTTGGATGAACAGACATTCAGTCTGTTCATACAATAAAAATGAAATAGCTATGAAATCACATGCATTTTTTGGTGCTTCAACATGCTCAGAGATGCTCTAAAACCAAGGATAGGTGATATTTGGTTTTAAATCATGAGCAACATCTTTCAATTGAGATTAAATTATTTAAATTATGATGGAAATCAAGTGACGAAGAAAATGAGAGCAAATTGCCCATATTTAGGCTCTAGAAAGCTATTGAATATATTCCAATGATGTTCTGTCTTGACTTTGGACCTGAAAATGTCTTATTTGTTCAAGTTTTAAGATTCAAAGCTGCCTATATGCCACAATACATATGTTGTGTAATAACATTTTACACCACATTTCCAATGCAGGTCCACAAGTACTGGGTGGCCCATGAGTAAGATTACCTGATTAAGAAACAGTGATTAAAATTATTTGCCAAGTTTATGGTACACTTCAGCATGAACAAATATGGTCATCAATCAACAAGATCTAAAATACAAACAAGAATAAAATCTTAAAACATGAATATCAAACTGAGGTTAATAAGATATTAGTGTAGTTGAAAATCCTTCAGTAAATTTACTTGTGCAAGACCAATGGCAGAAAAAGACCATGGAAACTGATAAGGACCAAGAGCCATATACATGGGAGATGGTGGGATTGGGTTTTCTTCAACCCAATATGTATACATTCAAATTTTGTCTGCTGTGTCCCAGTGCCCCCCCCCTCCCCCCCCCAAACAATGAATAATGAGCAAGATATCAAGATTGTCAATGGCTAGATGCAAACAAAAAAAGCAGTAAAAAAAACCTGATGAGTTATGAAAAAGTCCTATTACATGACATATATTTTTCTTTTGCATACATGAGAAACGATCAGAAAGTAACAAGACAAGGCCTGTGGTTCTGAAGTTATGCCTTGTTTTGTTTCTTTCCAATCATCCCTCATAGAGGGTGGGCTAAAAAAAAAAAAAGACTGTTTTCTTCATCACTCCACAGCACTGGTCCTCAAAAGTTTGCTAAAATTGCTATAGCATCTCCAAATAGAACACTCGTACAACTTTCCAATTATGTCAACAGAATAAAGATTCATGGCATGACTTTTATGCAGTCAGAAAAAGAGTATTAGAGGTTGCATTGGAAAGGGTGGTGCCATGTCACAATGGCAGCTAGTGCATGCAAGAGGTTGGCAACTTGCCATAAATGAAGGAATGGATGTCACTTAGAGCATTATCTTGTGGGGTACTGGTAAGTGCACTTTTCAAGTGCTACCTCTGTTATACGACGCATAACTACATCAGAATGATGGATTGGATTATAAATCTTTTGCCTTCAGTGGAAAGCTAGATAAATGTTCTATATAGAGATGCTATTGCAATATTTTCCAACTCTTGAGAAACTCTGCTGTGAAGCATTAAAGATAACTGAATATTTTTTTTTTACCACCTATCCCAAAACTTAATGGGATTGTGGTTCAAGCATGCCCAGGAGCATTCTCCAATGACCTCGATCCTGGACAATGGACTCAAGCTCAGCTGGTGGAAGGCCAAGCCTCTTGTGACAAAACCAAGCAACATAATTGCTTCACCTTGTATGAGATCTACCAACAGGTCTTTTGCCAGTCATCTAGGAAGTCTCTCAGAGAGCATGCATCAGAGATCTCCAAACCACCTAACCTACATCCTCTCAATCCTGAGAAGCTGCTTGACATAGAGGCTTTCACAGATGAGTTCTGCATCCAATCAGAACATGCCACACCAGCCACCCAACAAAAGAATCTCATTTCAGCTGTGTGTATCCGCAATCTGGTTCTTTCGGTTATTACTGGAAGTTCATGACCATAGGTGAGGGTGGGGAGGTATTTTTATTTTACTCTAAATTATTTTTGCCAATCCTGCTTTTTCAATATAAGGGAATAATTTCATTGCTGAATAGGTTGGGGGTGGAATTTCAGGCTTTTCCCTCAGTCCATTAGGTTTTCCTTGCTATACAAATTTAAATTCCTTCAATAGGATATCCCTTTATAATTTCACATTGGGGTGGATTGGTATTTGTGTGTGCTCCAAGATGGGTGATTTTTTAAAAGTTAATGCATCATTAGATATTGTACAATGAAGCACAGAATGAGCAATGAGTGATATTACATGTCACTGTGGATGATGCATAGATGCTGTAGCATTAAACATACTTTACTTTTCTTGTTTCCAACTTGTGAGTAAAAAAATTTGGTGTGGAGGTTCCATTAGAGCACCATAAAAAAGATAATTCAAAAGAGAAAAGTGCAAAATGCACTAAACAAGCTTTGTGTAAGACACCAACTACAATGTCTATGATAAGGCAAAAGTCTTAATTGGGAAACATCTGATGGAGAAACTGTAATGAAAGACCAGAGAAGAGAGAGATGAAAACTCACCTTGGCTATGCTCTTCCAATTTTTGCTTTTCATCTTCCCACTCCAGGTGAGCCTGAAAGAGATTGAAAAGTTCTCTTATTGCAAGTTTTAGTAAGAGTGTGCACAGAGCTTTTATATGAACCAAAGTCCTCAATGAAGATAATTATGCATCAGAAGGAATTTTTTTGCTGGATATTTAATTCATGATTTTTTGGAAAAGACTAAAAAAAACTGGATTGTTTCATTATGCTCTGTTCAGAGTGATGAGTGAGTGAGAGAAGCTACCCATGAGAGTTGATCACATCCACTCATGGGATCATTCAAAATGATATTTGACCTTTAAACTTTACAACTCCAGAAAAGACTTATAACATTAAAAAAACAATAAAATGAGCTAGGAATCAACTTCTTAGAGCAGAAAGTGCATTGAAAATTTCTTTGTGGAGGCTGTAAATATTATTGATCATCTTAGAAAAGGCATATAAACAATTATAAAAATTTATCAGCTAACACATCGAGGACTGTCACCCTACACATCGTGTAATTTTTCAGAAATAAATACAAAGCAATAAGAGCACAGCTGCCAGTAAAAAAAAAGGTACAAAAGAAACATCAGAATGTCTACAATCCACTCAAGCACATCTCAGAACCTACTAGTACACAGAAAGAATCAAATGGCATGAAACTACACCCTATGCGAAAACACAAATTTATCTTCTGTCCTCAATGTGTTAATAAAACCTAGGTGGAAAGTCAATCTTTCCACAGTTTTCATTCTGTAGTTGAAAAAAGGGCAGATTCTTGCCCTCCAGAGAAAGGTGAAATTTGTATATTTTTCTTGTTAAGGTAAAACCATCAGCATTCTGGCAGTTATGCAGACTGACCTTGTATGTTGCTCAAACTGCCTAGACAGTACAAGCTGGATGCTAAATTTTATGTCTGGCAGCATGCTAGTAGTAGGTTTGAGTGCAAATGTCTTTCCTGGGCTTATAGCTTTCAGTATTGTATGTGAGTGTTTGAACTTAGATGAAAAAAAAATTCAATTTGAACATTTAAAGTTCAGACTGGACAGCACATAGTGATCTGCTCAGAAAATGCACATTCTGCATAGAAGTACTATATGTACCCCTATTTTCATAGGGAAAAAGACTTGAGCAGAAAAATTACCTAAACCTTGTATGAAGCATTTATCAAGTAAGCTTGTCTCCATGTTTTCTTGAGTCTCTCCTGCCCATGATACAGCTGTTACTTAGGCCAAATATTTAGAAATAATGTGATATGATCTTCACTACAGGTCTTTTGCTAAATAACTGTTCATCCCAAGTTAGGAAGAACTGTTTCTGAGAAGTGATGTCAAAAATACTTAGTTCAGTAACAACATACATAATAAAGTATGAAATTAGGTGCTGTCTGTGCATAAGTGGTATTATCCTACATTAAAAAATGCCTCAAATGTTCAGTCTTTGATCATGCATGGTGCCCAAAGAGGCATTACACTTGCTCATTATCAAAGATGCATTCTTCCCCTCTTCTGGGAAATAAGAAAGATGAAGCAAAGAAAATTTGATATATTTTCCCCAAACATATTCTTCCTTCACACTATCTGAATGTGACAAAAAGTTTTACCTTAAACAGAATTGTTGTGAATAGCAGACAATTTCTGAGAAAGGCTTCTATCACCCAATTCCCTCAGAATATGTTTGGGAGTGTACATGCATAGCACACCGTTACCTTTTTTTGATATTTGATTTTTACAATATACAGGGCTTTCATTTTTTAGTTATCCCTCAGCTAATTTGACTAGGTTCTTTGTTTAATAAATTCTTTGTTGACAGAACTGCTGGCTAGTCAAAGCAGAGAGGGTAGAGATGAGGAAAAACTCTTGTTATTCCAGTCTTAAAACTCTGATACCTTCCTTCTGCATAACTTCCCCTTCATGAGATGTGCTACAGTCATCCATAATGGTTATCAGCCAATCTCAAATAACCAATAAAACATAATTGCAACTCTAATAATCCCACCACTATTGATGATCAGACATAAAACCAGTGCCCAGCACTGACAGCATCAATGATACCTGCCAGTACCAGATAAGTAACAAACTGGCATACAGTAGGCATTGTATTGTCCTTTTGTGAATGATTCATTTTTCAGAAAGGAAGACGTGGCAGTTACTTTGTGGCCAAAGATAAATGGGCCTAAAAAAATCAATCGCATATGACAACGTGGTGTGGAACTCAAGATGGAGACCTTTTGAAATCTCTCCTGCAATTCCTTGATGGCTCTAGATTGTGACATGAGCTTCTCCTCTTGTTGTTTCAGTTCCAGTGTCATGTGTTGATTTTCTGCTAGAGTGGATGCAACTGTTGCCTTCCAACCCATGAGCTGTAAAAAAAGAAAAAGTCATGATCTCAGCAGATGGCCTATTATCGACAATGACATATGTATGTAAATCTGACAAGGCAATATCTGTAGTATCTCTACCATTTCTTTGACAACAAGAAGCTCTTCCCTCTCACTCCTCAATTGTTCCTCAAAAAGCCGTTTTTGCTGATCTTCTTTCTCCTCCTTTGCTTTTAAAGCCATTTCATAGAGATGAATCAGACCATGACACCCCAATCCTTCAGGGACCTGAAAAACACTCAGATGAGCAAGGGACATAATTTTATGATGATGCAACTTAGACATAGAATGCAAAATCCATTTCTCTCCAGAGATAAGCTTCTGAACATGAAGTGACTGTACACTAACACTAAAAATCATATTTAATTTGGAAGACCTTATCAACTTAATCCTGTTGGAAAATTTCCAGCCCACAGATAAGGTTCTAAGTTCCAAATGCAGCTAGGGTGAGCTAAGAGAGGGAGGGGGGGGATGGTGCTGAAATTATAATATGCAGTGCCAGCACACCACCTCTTCTATTGCCCATGGTGGAACATAGAGGAGTTCCAAGAAGGTCTCTACACATTGTTTAACAGAAATTCAGAAAATCTTCTGGAGTGGAATGTATTGTGCCTAGCAAAGGGTGGTATAGGATGAACGTACTTCATCAGGATTGCTCCTGATAGAGGATGGAATTGTAAGAAGGTTAGATCCAGACCAAATAGGAATCTGCACCTCACCTGGCACAGTTTGCATTGGCTGGGACATACAGACAGAAAGAGAATCCTCCCTAAATTGGAAAACATCCAGTCAGAATAGATAATACAAAATAGCATGTACACCTTTACAGATATATTTCATGTTATATTACAAAAGCAATGAGTGTTCTACCTTACCAGTTTTCAACTGCTGCTATTAGTCTGAAAGTCTCCAATGCAACAAGGATGTCCTGTTGATTATGGGAGAAACGAAGGACATGGGCTAATGCACTGGTGACTGCAGGATCCTGAAGAGCATGTTCACAGAATGACTTCCATTCCTCATTTGTATTTTTCATCATCTGTAGGACTCTGATAAACTTTAGAAAGAGAGCTGAAAAATTGTGCCTTTCCTTCTGTGGGGATTCTTCCTCCTGCAGTTGAGCAAGATGGAAAAATGCATTGACAACTAAATCCAGCTGGAGAACCCTCCAGCCATCATGGTTAAGGTTTTTACCTTTCTCAGATATGATCTCCAACAGTGAAAATGTCTTGAATAGCACAATGGAGGAAAAGTAAGTGTCTTGGGAATCTATAAACATCTTGAAGGAATTATTGATGATAGTGAACAATCCCTTTATATGAGGAAGCAACAGTGAAAAATCTGCTTGGTCAACAAGTGTTTCAGCAAGACTTAGGGATTCACATGCACATCCCTCCTTCTGATGGATCCCAAAAACCCATTCAAACAGCATTCCTGCATGATCTTGCAATGAGAGGATTCCTGATTGGACAATGCATTTCACAAATTGTGAAAATCTTACTTCCACCTTGGATTCCATGATAGGCTTCATTTCAAGGATCCCAAGAACTTGTGTGAGATGATCAAGGGGAATACTCTCAGGTTTGACTTTGCCTAACATTTCATACTCCTCAAACAAGGCACATGCATGGGAAATAGCAAGAGCATCATTCTCAAGTGCTTGTTTACAAACCACATCCAGCATCATTTTGAAGTCTTTCTCTGCTTTATCCAACTGAATACGACATTGACTGAGCCAATGAAGAATCAAGGTCTCCCTGATGATGTTGGCCTCTGAGAGATTGACTGTCTTGAAAATCTCACAGATCTCCTTCTTGTATGGGATGAGTTGGTCAACTAGTGCATGATTTCGATGTAGCATGTTCACAAGGACACTGAGGGCTGATGTGCAGTCAGCCTGAGCCTTTCCTCTCACAAGCAATTCACCCACAGCTAGATCCACAATCCTAGACAAGGTAGCACCTGCTGGAAGTTTAACTCCTTCTGACAAGCATCCAATCAGGTCCAGAAGCTTGTCCTTCTCATCTGCTTTCCAGCTCACTATTGCTGCCATTTGGTTTATGCAGAAGAGATAGCAAAATTCATCTCTCAAGTTCACACGAATAGTCTCATTCTTGCATATGTAGTGCAGTAGTTCAATGATGTTCCTTTGCAGTGGAGATTCCACGCTTGAAATTATATGCCCCAGTCGGATGTACAATTCTCTCATCATGGGAGAATTTGGGAGGAAGATAGTCAAATCCTTTGCTTGAGTCAATATCTGAAATCAGCGTTGATCACATTATTCCATTCTATATAGGGCATAGGCCATGTTTTAGAGCAAGTTTTTTAGTCTAAACATGTTGATGCAATATGATGTTAGTCTCACCTGAATTCGCCGTTGTAGACTCTGAATATTGGCTTGCATGTCTTCTTTGGTCTTGCATTGACGCAACAAGACAAGGAGATTCCTAATTTGAGGGTTGAAGCAGTCTGTTCTCCTGTATTCATACTCTTCCATGCTGGTCAAGGTCTACAAGCCCTAGGAAAATAATCTTAAGGGTCAAATGTATAGTTGCTTTTAAAAGGGCACCTCTCTTCCCTGCCTTTGATTTCTCTGACTGGCTTGGAATAACAAACAATTGGTCACTGCAGATATAGTCATGGGCCCAAGCTAAGGTCAAGGTACAAATACAAGCTTCCAGAATCCACAGCTTATAATACAGTGGTGGTGTGATTACAGGTGGAATTACAAACATTTACAACACATCAGAATCATAGTTACAAACACATAATGTGCAGGTGAAAAGAAATAAGTAATAGCACAAAACTGCTAATGGAAATTCCAATGTTGAATGGTAAGCAGCTGAGAAATTTAGCACTTTTTCACATTATTGAAGGTCCCAGTACATCACTTTCTCACATACTCAGCCTTTTGTTCAACATGGGATCCCCCATAAGCATTTTTTGCAGGCTTTATTTTCTTCTCTCCTAGCAGTCCTAGTGTAGCACAAACAAAACTCATTGTATTATACTTCTAGCACATTGCTTTTATTATTTCATCCAAGTTTTAGTAGATCCATCATCTTATTGGTAATGAAGCCTAGTCACACTTCCTGAGTTCTGCTTCCTCTGACAGGAGGAAAGATCTCAGACCCTAAATACAGAGTTGGACTTAAGCATCTAAAGGTAGGTTTAACTCATCCAGGTGCTAGATACAATGAATGTGGAAAATACATGAAAAGGGGGAGAGGGAAGTTAGTGAAAGGTTGATGCAACCATTTTCTCCTAGCTGAACAGCTGCATCCCTAGTTGATTCCTGATTGAATTCATCCTCTCCCCAGCTCCCTCTACTGTGATGTATAGTCAATATTCTGAATCCTTGTGCAAGCAGTAGACTGTCAAAGAGTCAAAGGGTAAGGAAATGTGTGTCACTGCCGATGGTGATAAATGAGAGCAATAATGTTGACAAAGGGGAATTTTTGTGGAAATAAACTTGGAAAAATAAACTATTCTGAACTCATCTTCCCGTTTTACTACCTTCCCACCCCCTCCATAAAATATGGAGTCTCTCAATCAACTCAGTTGACAAGTGCTAATCTCTTTCATGGCGGTCCTCCGGGGCAACAGGCAATGCCGCTGCACAAAGATTCAGGATACAGACTATAAGCAGGAAGTAATTCCCTTCTACCTTGATCACTCACATGGTCATGATGAATTATTTTGAGAAGGCAGTCATCGCTCAATTTCTTTGACATGTGACCCTATTCAGAATCGGGGTAGGTAGGGAGGGAGAATAAATTCAATTGAAAAATCATTGTGAACTACCGAGTCAGTTGATAGGTGCCGACGCTAGACATCCGACTGTAGCAACACTCCCTCTCTTTTAGTCTCGAAAGAATACTCGCCAACTGCCAGTGCCAGATGCGGAGTGACCTAATAAGCTTGGTGCGTGATGACGAGGATTACAGTAAGGAATATGCTTATGAAAACCAGATAAGTCAACTTAACCCAAAAACCCCGCGCGCCACCATCAATGCTAAGCAAGGAATTTCTGTCTCTTCCTCAGTGCTGCCCAAAACTTTCCCCTGTGAATGTACGTATGTTTTGGAGAATCTGAGGAATGAGAGGTATATCAAGCAGTTTCACTGATATTCCATCATTTCATTTTAATTAATTCTTTGTTTACTTTTTAATGATTCTGTAATACCTTGATTGAGATTTAATCCTCATTACGCCTGAATATATATATTTCATTCCCATGCCCATGTTTCAGCGCCCACGTGTGAACCGTGTGTGATGGTAGTCCATCGTCAGGCTTTCCAGTCTGGATTTTAAAATTATATTTCAGAATTTTTCTCCGCATCAACATACATCAGAATTAGACCAGATTAAAATAATGAATCCCTAAGCATGAGATGCAATGTTAGTGACTCCATGACTGACCTATGGTATGATAGGCTTAACGTTAGGGATCCACGGTGAAATAGGCCTGACCTCATATGGCTTCCATTTCTGCTCTTCCAAATGAAATTTTGGAAGAGGTCTTGCTGAAACTTGACGGGAGGACCTTTACGAGATCTAGGAGGGTTTGTCAACTCTGGAAGGACATAATAGATAACTTGGAAAAGGTGAGTCTTTTAGGCCTAATTCAGTTCTGTATGATACTGCTACTCACCATATTCAACAGAGATGGGATTCTTTGTTATTTGAACACCGTAATAATGCCAACTTCTTATTGTGTACACCCCACTGTTCAGTGCACACTATGGGCTAAAGATGCCATGTTACATGCATGTTGAGCCACACACCCAAGCTCACCTAGGCAATGTCCAGGTATAGGTGAATGTTATATTCAATTTTAGAGGTTTGAAAGGTACAAAAATGGACTTGTGAAATCATCAAAATAGCATTGTGACAGGCAAGCATCCAAATGTATCTCCTTTCATCTACCTGCATCTGTCAGTCAAGTTCATTTTAACTCAGCAGTAAACCATTCTATTTTCACTTCCATCCCATCTTCTCTCCAGTAGCACACTGTCTCATGCAACATCTGTCTGGCTGGCAGAGTCTCACCCAGCACATTTGAGATTGTTGTAACCATCTAACTTAAGGTACTTCTACAAATCAAAGTCAGCCCCAAAACCTGATTTCATGGGCTTCACTTCCAGGATTCAGTGTCCTTAATTTCTGGGCAAGACAATTGGAACAGAGGCTTATTCACACAGGCATTATCTTTACTACATTCACTAAGGTGATGGATTCACCATTCAATCAGGTCCAGGACTCCTGGCAAAGCCTCTGAGAGAAGCATTGCACCATTGCATGCCAACTGGTCTTCTGCTGATCATCCTGGAAATCCTTGGATGTGTCTGAGGATGCATGTGGGAGATGTTTCAGGAAAACTGAATTTGAGACCTTGAACTAGAGAAGCTGCTCTAACTGGAGATTCTCTCAGACACCAACACTCCACCTCCAAACCTTATAACCCACCATGTAGGGGTACTTCTCTAGATAGAGAGGTTTCAAGTCCAGTTTTTCTAGCATATCACTCATGTGCATCCTGAGATGTCCTGGATGAATGGACATCTCAGCCAGACAAGACACCCTACCTTAGGGGTTAGCAGGCCTACCACGTGCATGATATACACAGGGGAGTAGTATACATTGAGTGAGTTTAAATTCAGTGTTGGTAATCCCTGTTAGTGTTCCATGTAACACAAACTCCACCCCCTAACGGCAGATTTGAACTCGTTTTGTGGTGTTGGTGTAACACCATGATTTCTCGGTGTTTCACCCCAGTGTAACACCCAGTTAAACACAAAATGCCATCTCAGTCCCAGTTTGGTGTAGGTGTGGTGGGAATTCCCTATACTTCATAATGGAGTGTTACACTAATTCCTAGGGGTTAACACCAGAGCGAGTCCAAAAGTGGTGTTAGTAGCATAAGTGACTGACAGTAAGTAGAGACAAGAATTGTGCAAAGTTTTTAAAGACATAAAAGGAAAGAGGGTCGAGACATCATGAATGCACACACATTATGTACTTCATAACATGGTGCCTCAACAGAAGTGCCATCATACTGAACTCTACTACCATCACACTCTCAGAAGAAAATTCAGGTGTGTCTTTCACTCCTGGAAGCCCTGGCAAAGAAAATAGGGAGTTTCTTCAATGTGGCAACAGCACTTCAGCCATTTCTTGGCTGAGGCCTCTGAACAATGATTCAAGGACTGAAAATATCATTGCATTCCATCAAAAGTTTCCAACTCGGATAGCAAATGCTTTCTACTCATAAATTTGTCCTTCACAAGATCTAATTGTTACCACAAAACAGCCTAGAAGGTATAGGAGACAGCATTTATCATACCAACATAGACCTAATGAGAAGATATAGGCCTAGGTAAAGTTGTCTTATTTCATTTGCAATCAAATTTCATGAGTCTGCCACTGATAATTAGCTGTGCTATGCCTAACCCTTCAATTTAACAGCCCTGAACCTGAGAGAAAAATGAAAGTAGCTCCAAGATGACACTGTTTTTCTGGGTTCCATGTCAGTGTGTTAGTGTTGGTGTTAGGAGGAGCCTCTTGACATTAACACTGGGAGATAATACCAACACCCGATTTGAACTCACCCATTGTGGAGGTGTTTACACAGTGTGTACAGTATCCATATAACGAAGGATACCCTGGGAAATTGACAGGCAAGGAATCATATCTCCTTTATACACCATATGCTCATTTTTATTTTATTTTCTATTTCATTATCACTATCATTTGTTGAACTCATGGCATTAAAAACCTTAATTATTTTTGCTGCTGTTATTCTTTGAGTATTCTACATCCACCCTGGTGTAAATTTTTGTCTACAAATTCTACTTGACCATTCTTTACTTAATGTTCTCATTAGCAAGAGTCCTTCAACAAAGTATCCCATTATCATCCATCTGCCTTTTCTTCCAAAAATCAGAATGTTATGTCCCAAATCTTAAAATACTTGAATCTGTTTCTCTTATTTAAAAAAAATCCAGCAATATTCTTGTCCATAATATCTCCTTCATTCTCTTCAGCCATTACTAATATCATGCATACATGTTACTAATTTCACAACTATACATCCAAGGTACCTTAAATTGGACAACAGCCTCGCCTTGAAATACCCTATCAAAAAAAGAGTATGAACCCATGTTGCTCTGCTAATTCTAGTATTTTCCTGGGTGTCCCATGAGATATTTTCAAACCCCTGAAATCTTCAATGCAATCAACAAAATAGGATTCATTCACCTTCCATCTGTTTCATGTGAACATGTCAATGTAATTGTTTTCCCTTGATAAGTGTCTAGAATGAGTTGACTTCCAGTTCCATGCTGATTTCAACATTCTGATTTGATTGGAGTAACTCCTTGTATTAGCTGCAACACTCAATTTGCTGCCTACATCCTGATCTTATGCTAAGTCACTCATGTATCATATCTGTTCCAAAAATGGGGATTAGTCATAATTAGGGAGCAGATTTTCATGCAAATGCATGAAAATCTGCTCATGCACTCAACATTTTGCTTTGGGCTTTAGTTCTGTAGACCACTAGACAATTCATTTGTTTAATTGCAAATATGATAAAAACAAAGCCAATCTTGAAAATTGGTCATCAAGTCTTCACACCCTCTCTCCTCTGTAAGTCTATGTAAGGCCAGCTTCCAATGATCTTTCCCATTTTTGATGATGACATTTTTTTAATGTTCATGTTTTAGCATGCAGATCCCTGGTTGAGATTCTGTGAAGAACTTCCAAAATCAAGTAGGACGCAAATAGTGGATAAAGGGGGATGGTGGAGAAAGAAAGAAAATGGTGATCTCTCTGCAGACTGGAAGTCAGTCTATAGCTCCTGGGTGCAGGCCCAAAAAATTCAAGATTGGCATCCTGTCGTTCATCAGAGAAACAATGCTCCTAATGTTCCTTTTATGGCAATCACCTGCAGTGGTAAGAATGCATATCAAAGTATCATTAACTCTAACATATACCTAATGGCAGAGATTGAGAATATCATTAGGGGAGTTAACAAGAAGACTAGTCAGCAGACAATTCACTTGTGCTCCAAATTTTGTCTTAATCTAGCGTCTTCAACTTACTATCTCAAATGGGCAACTTAAGACAATCAAATCCTTTTGTGAGCTTCAGGGAGAAGTGATGCAAGAGTGGAGAATAGAGGGAGTTGAACTCCACCTAGATACTAAATACTGAGCTGTCAACAAGCTAAGGTGAAGTGGACTATTACATGGAAAAATTAACCTAATTTTTAAGAAGATTTTGGGGGGAAGGTTATTGGCCTAAACCTCCAAAACTCTACTCATTAATTCATTCTTGACAGAAGATGTCATCATATTGCTATTATAAGCCCAGGTACAATGATTTTGGATTGAATTTGTACCCTCCCCCCAATAGTGAAAAATGGAAAAAACACAACTTCCAGAGGATCTGCTTCAGTTGGCAGTGACATCTAGAAGTGGAAGTGCTCCAATGGTGGGAGGCATACAGATTCAATCCAAAAACAATGTAGAGGGAAAGCTACCTGACCTATAGCTCAGTTAAGGTCTATGGGACTGAGGAAAGTCAGAAGTTTACCTTAGGGAAGGAGCATACTTTTCTTTTGTTGGTCCACTGTAAAGTGAATTCTATTAACACTTATGACTGCCTTTCTTGTCATATGGCATCTTCAGCATGACAAACCACTGCTACCTTATTTGGCAATGAGAGTTTGGGTGAGAATTTAAACCCCCAGCAGTCGATGTGTTAAGTGTGTATCAGCTATACACTTATCATACAAAACATCTATGACTCACTTGATGGATACAGAAATTATTCATTTGAGGGACAGTACCATAATTCCAACCACCCCCCCCCCCCCCCCCCCCCCCCCCCTGTCTTGGATGCAATAATGAACAGAGTTGTGTCAGGATGGAGCTTCTTCAGTGTCTCCACAAGATGTGTCCCATCAATGTTAGAAACAAAGTGGACTCGGGGCCCAATGGCAAAATGCTTCAAGGCTTTCCAGAGTTCCCCATCATCAGATATGGAATAGGTTTGAGAATTATAAGCTAAACATTTTTTTTTGTGCAGGAGACTGTGCTATAACAGGACATGCCAATGGTCAGCTTTCCCTATGGAGTTGGGCCTCACAGGAATTCCTTGGAAATATTGGATTCCATACTGAACCAATCAATGAACTTCATGTGATTGACCTCTGTCATGATGGTGAGTTAATTTTGCTTTTCACTGGGGATTCAGTGACATTCAATGACAAGTATTGCAATTGGTGAATGGATTGGCATTATAATTATCACATTTGCCTGGTTTCCTCATTGGGCTGAGTTCCCTTCCCTTCCCTAATATTGATGTAAAAAAAAAAAAAAGAATTTATTTTTGCACTGGTAACATCAGATTTGCATATTTTTATACACTTTGATGGAAAAGTACAAATGTTCGTATTTTAAAAATTCATTTAACATGGGATACTGCTGAGACCTTCCTCAATAACAGAAGGGTTAATTATTTTGGCATTAGGAGTGTAACTTATACCTTTGCTCAGCAATAAAAAATACATTTCAAAGGGTTGCATTGATGTCACAGTAGCAGGAAACTGGAGGAACTCACATAGTTGAGTGGTAGATTGTATGGCAAAATGGCTTGTGAAAGTCTGGATTTATTCGGAGTTCTCTCGTTTCCAAATTGAATTCTGTTGATCTGTTGATAAGGAGCGGCATGTTACAAGGTGAAGAAATCAAGGAATGAGAAAGAAACTTGGATGGACCAAAGAAATCAAGGCCCTACCAAACTTGGAATATGCAGATATTTTCATGTATCTGACAGTAACCTAGGTCCATACTCTTGTCACCAGCAATGGTCCTATAGCCAGTCATTATTTATTTGTCACAGTAGACCATTTACTGGAAATAATTGCATTGATCACAGGAATGACTAGAAGACCTAACTGGGACATTATTGTTTCCCTATGCCTTCTGCAACTACTGTTAGGAATTTTTTTAAAGTTGGCTCGTCTTCATATTAGCTCTTTAGACCTGACTCTGGCAATGTTCAAGACTTGTAGACTCTATCAAGTAATTTGTTTTTAAATAGAATAGGCATATGTTAATGCCTCTTACGATTAGCCCAATGATAGGCCAATGATGTATATGGTACATCATTGGGCTAGCCTTAAGTTCTACCTATCTTGTGAAGGTGCAACACTGCCTGAGAATGAATAACCCTGCTATGGAGCCATGGGTGGCAGTGAGAGAAGAAGTAATGGTTCTCCTTGGTTGCAAGTCTAATCTTAATTCTTTGGATTCCATCCCTTTTTGCCAGAGCATTTGTTCAATCTTTCCTCTGAGCAATATTCTTCTTTGGGAAATGATAATACCTGTTCCACCTCCTTGCATAAAGTTATTTGTGCATCCTATGACACAGCAAGACCTCACCATGTTCATCAAATGCAGAATCACTGCTCAATTACAATCTCTCTCAGAATTCTAGCCCCAGAAGTCTAGCTGGCACAAACAGCCATGCTGGTGTCATTGTGTGCATCTCCACCATAAGGAACCTTCTCTGAATCCCAATTGCTGTAGTGAATGTGGTATGTATATATGATGAATTTCATTTGAGGCTATGCATTCCAAAGTCAGAAATTTGATCCTACAAGGGAAGGCCTACCAGGAAAAGAAAATATGGCTGAATGGAAGAACCTGCATCGTCTTGTGTTCACTGGCATATGCTCTTCTTTTTGTGTCTTCCTCCCATCAAAATACAGAATCTTAACAGCTCTACATTCTCTTGCATTCATAATACTGAAAGCAGGTTTTGATATATTTTGTTTGTGATAACATTGCCAAATGGAGAAATCCTTTCTTTGGGCTTAGAGGATTGGTGTCATTTTATCACCTTGTGGGAGCATTTCACTACTCTGATAATAGGAAGTTTCAGTTGCAATCTTCATCATTGTAAGATTGAAGGTCATATTTTGTTAGTTCAAAATTTTTTTTTCTGAAGCCAGAGTGTGTCCTTGAATGAAGATTGTAGATTAATTGTTTTCTCTGGACTCCAACTTCATGAGTAGATCAGAGATGATCATTTAATTCATGAAAGAGACCCTGCCTCAGCCAGTCCATGCTTTTGGCAGACATGCATGACTCCAGCCATTGCTTTGACATGCTAGTGTGCTCCAACAGGCCTCTTATATAGAGCTAGACTTGAAAGCATGATGCTTGTTGCCATGGTTAGTGTACCATTACTTGAAAGAGTTAAGATTAGACCTAATGTTTGGCTAGTGTGGTACCGTGTTGGCACATATGCTGGAGGCCATATTAGCAATCCCAAGTGCTTAAGGACTGTAACTGTTTATCAGTTCTGGAATTCTAGCAGGTTTGTTGTCTCGAGTGTAATCTACTATGAAGAAAAAAAACTGGAACTTCTTAATCACATTTGGCTTCAAATGAAATTTACTATATTGACCTAATGAAGACATCAGTCCTGGTATCAAAGTCAATATTGGGATCTGCTGTCTTTATCTTGGTATACATCAGCTAGATAATTTCAATGCATCTGTTATGTTTCTCGCTGTCAGCAGACTGATCAATTTTTGCAGCTATGAGTAGAATCCTGTCATCAGGACAAAATTAGGCCTGAATGCTGGAACTTCCTTTAGTTAACAGTCCATTAAGAATAGGGTAAAGGCACCAGTTTGTGGACAGGTTAAGGAAATTATCCTCTTGAAAATTGTGTTACTGTCGTTGGGGTAACCGAGAAACCAAGAAAGTTTAATTAGTTTCAATGGGGAGCCATTTATCATAGTTTGATGCCCATACCCTAAAATAAAATATTAAAAATATACTTTTCCCACAATCACTGTTTAAATGGATAGGCATTGATTTTTACATGGTTCCTATTTGTGGATGGCCTGGTTCCAGTTTGTGGACATCCATGGGCACAGTTTTTCGGCACCGACTTTTGTCAACAATTATGAACATGCATGGGTCAAATAGAAAAATATGAGCATGAGACATGTACAGCAATTATATTTATCTTTAATGATGTCCTGTTAAGAAATATCATTGGAATAATTAAGGAATTTAGGGGTGCTAGGTCTGAAACTGAGCAAAAATGTCCAAGTTCACTCATGCTGATGCTTATGCATAATTTATATGGTGGCTGACAGGCAAGTGCAAAATATGGAGCATTTAAGGAAATAATTTTTTTGCCATGTATTTTGTGAAATGGCAAAAAACGCAAAACTGTCTACATATAGGCGCCCATCCACAAACTGGTGCCTCTACACTGCATTGATTACTATGGAGGAAAAAGTGCTCTCTTTAGCCAAAAGCCGCTTTTGTCTCCCCTAAATGAGGTTTGTGCATTTGGGCCTTAGTTTTATCCTCTTGAAGTTGAGGACTCAATCCTTTAAACTTAACTCTTGCAGGTCCACATGTGCTGACTCGTGACCTTCAAGTTCAACATGATCACATCCTCTCTCTAGTTCCAGAAGAACCTGTTTACATTCATTCTCTGAGTTTGGATGGAGACAAGAAGATTTCAAAGCCCCTCTCAGCAGAACCTTCTTTGATCTGCTCTGTCCAGACTCCTGATTGGAAGTGAGATAACTCAGCAAATAATATCTTTTACTTAGTGTTTGAAGGCTTGTGAATGAAGAATCACTTCAAATTTCTTAAGACCGAGTCCATAAGTCAACCAGAACACTTTTGGAGGGTGATCCAGCTTTAGCAAAACCCTGTATCATAATTTTAAAATTATTTGAGGTGATCATGCTCTTCTGTGTTTTCTCTGGAATAGGTTTATCTAAGGAGGTGTGCTATATTCCAAATGATTGCAGAGATATAAGGGCCCAATCTCCTCCAAGATCCTCCAAAATCTGAAAAAATTACCCAACTGGGCCATACCTCCCCTGCACATTAAACATCAGCCGAAACAGTGAGAAATTGTAATATTTTTGTGAAATTTAATCTAAGTCAAGGAAATCAGTATAAGAACCTGCAAATGATGCCCAGTTGGACATCATGACAACAATGAAAAGCACATTCACCATGGACTGGTATATCTTTGGGGGGTGACACTGAATATCCAGCCTGATTAGTGCTGTGACAACCCAAGCCAATAAGCAGTAGTGTGTGACCATCAGTTAAGTTTTCATTACAATTCTACTGAAGCCATTCATGGATAAGTTGACAAGTTTAATTGCCAGATTTGCCTTCTCCATGACATAAACAGATGGCACAAACAAGGTTTGCCCTGCCATTTTCATTTCTCTTTGAATGGAAAGCATGGTTTGCATAACTGTGACACTCCAAGAAGCTTTCATCCTGGCATGTGCACACCCGTGCATCCACTGATGATTATTGGACCTTGGTTACTGCATTCATGTACCCTGGTCAGTATGGTTGTTAGGCACTGCATTCCAATGCTTATGTGGATGAAGTTTGTTCATTCTCAGACAATATTGCATAGGAGACATGTTGATTACCTTGAAGACCAACCTATGGTGTCACTTATCTTGTGACATGATGATTATTGGTTAGCTTCGTTGGGTAGAGTAGTTTCAATCTGGTCTACAGCAGAATTACTTAATTATTGCTAGAAAGGAGTGCTAACCAAGTGTATGGTGAATTGATTTTTTGCTTTTTGCTTTTGGGTGTCAAAGAACAGCCATTCATTACTCAAATAACCTTGAGCATCTTTTTTGTGTATGCATGTGTATTGGTACGGTCTCTGATTTCACATGCATCAGATCAACAAAGACCTCCAGTGACATGTCAATTAACTACAATTCTACAGTCCCTCCCATTAGGAGGTCTTCCCTATGCTGCTAAAAACAAGAACAAGTTGGATGGTCCATGTCTGTGGAAATGGCTCAGCAATATAGCTCTCTGTTGCTTTCTTTGAATTTTTTCCAAGTTGTTGCATGCCTCCTGTCTATCAGAAACTTCAACCTGGTTGTTACTGTAGTGGCTATTGCTGGCAAGGGGAGTTGCCACCCTATCACCTCCTCAACTTTGAATCTTTGGATTTCATTGAGTACAATGACTTCATAGAGTATAATGCCATTTTTTAAAGCACGAGATAGTGGACTATAAATTGGTGTGTTTTTTGTGTTTCTTTATTTTTTGCAGATTTACCCCCACCCCCCAGAAACAATCAATTCATTCTGGTTGACTCATGAGCTTGGTGTTAAAAAAGAAAATAATGGCTTGAAGTATTCATTAAATCCTCATGTTTCTCATATGTTTGAAAGAAGCCAAGGGGTTTTGCTGGCAACTCTATCTCCTCGGTGTTACCTCTGTGTGTATGATATTCAAGTTGAAGAAGGAGTTGGACCCATTGCTACAGAACTCTGTTGGATCAATGTACCATCTAATACATATCCACTCCAGGCACTGCACTTCTTTAATGAAGAGGTTATAATTTTTTCTTTTTGGAGAGCAGCAACTGAATCCAGAGATCAAATCTGTCCTATTCTTTTTGGTAGGTGATGGCATTGTCAAAGGATTGTTCATGTTTGGTTCTGGATTCAATGAAGAAGGAATGGAAAAATCAACAGACACCATGTTTCCTCCTTTATGCTGATGTAGATGACTTCAATGAAAGTTCATCAGAGAGTGAGGAGTTCTCAAAACTCTTGGATTCTGTGGACTCTGACACGCCAGCAGATGTACGCATCTTACGTTCAGATGCTTTTTACATTTCTACTCGTAAGTGGAAAGCAAGCACATTCTGCATAATTCTCACATTTCAAGTTTGTCTCTTATCAGTCTGCAGTGAATTTTACTATGTTGAACAAATATAAATGTGTTTCAATGAGCCTATTTTTGTTATGTTTCCAAAGCCATGCAACTAAAGCTATTGTCATTTGCACAGGTTAGCTCATGAGAGGTTTGTTCTGAAGTTCTATTGCATCCTAAGAAGTTGAGGAAACGATGGACCTATCACAAAAATGAAATTCATGGATTTGGATAAACCTACCATCCTGAATGGTCAATATTGTTTTACAAGTGTTATGGAGACTTCTTTTCCAAGTTCATAGCATAATGCATTTATGTGATGGCAGGTTATAGATAAAAGCTTTAATAACATAAACAATCTCTGTCCATATCTTTAGGGCAGTGGTTTGGGTAGCACAGCTGTGATAATGAATTACATGGTGCTTGCAGGAAGTGGTCTGCTGTGCCTATCAGAAACTGGAGCCAATTATCATACATTCTTCACCAACAGCCACTTTGATGGGTCTGTCACTGCTGTCTGTCTTCAGGGACCCATTCTTGCCTTGGGCTTGACAACTGGTACATGCCTTGTTATGCTGAATGTTGTAGTCTCCTCTCTGCCTCTATACTGGCAATTTACTGCACCTTTAGATTTTTTTTTAAATCAGAAGTCATACAAGGGCAGAGTGGCCGAAGCTGTGTTAATCTGTTGCTCAAAATACAATGGATGTTGATGGGGGGGGACATTTTCAGCTGTATTTCCCCCATTATTAGTATCATCAAAATAATTTTCAAAATTATGCTTCATACAGTCACACCACCATGTACCTTGGTACAACAAGGATCCTTGTTGTACCTTCTCTGGCTAGGCTGTCAAAGAAAAGGTCAAGTAAAGTGAGGAAATGTATTGAATGCTATTGACTTCTGTCTTAGACTGTGTAGGCTAGCTCATAGTCTTGTTCACTTTTATTTTGAGATCACAATATGAATGCCATGAGTGCTATGGTACTTATGAGTGTAAAGTTGCTGACCCCTGTGCTTGATGGATATCAAACTGATGGTAGGACTTTGAAATTGGTCACAAGGGCTTTTCTGTAAAGAAGTTGAGTTGCAGAATTCAGTGGTCATTCTTCCACTAGGCTTTGTTTTGTTTTTTTCGAGACTGCACCTATTAAAAAATAAGTTTATCTTCATACATTATATAAACACAATAGCAAACCATGTCAGACATTGAGAATAGCAGTGAAGATTACCCAATCAGGCTAGGAATGAGTCTAGTCTTGTCCTGGACTACCTGTATGATACTAGGATATCAAATTGTAGTAATAATTTTCATGTAGTTACTTGCTACTCAAAACTACATATATACAGGTGGTTATGAAGTCACTATATATTTCCATGACAGATAAATAAATGACAAATAAGTATTTATTATACAAAGGTAGGGGTTTCTCAAAGATGTAATATCACAAGTACTAATCCACTGTCCATAGCTTGATATTGCTCCCATCTGTCAGAGACAGCTTGGAACACATTGTTCAATGTCTCTGATGTTATGCACTAGATGCAGTGTAGATACAATTTCACAGATCCTGTCATATGGCAGTTCTGGCTATTGACCTTTCTGTAGGTGTGGAAAGTGGTTTCATTGCTGAAAATCACATGTTAAAAAAATAATGATAATTTTCTGGAGCTTCAAGATGATCTTGACACATTGCAGGCCATGCTGCTTAACCCTCCCCCTCCAAGCAGTGTACAATCTGGATGTCATATGCACACTTCTTAACAGCAATCCTCAGGATATTGTGCACTGTTAATGGGGAGCTTTCAGGTTCTGTCAATGTGTGTCATATGTAATTTCCTGGACTTCATTTACATGCATTTTATGACACTCAATTGTGTATTCAAATGGATTTGGCTGTCCAGAACGTTCTTAATCTGCTATGAATTCATTCCCACTGAACTTGCTCAAAAGCAAACAGATTTTGGCATCTGTTGGACCAGGTTCAATTGAAACACTTGACACACCATCTTGTTGTATGTCTTTTGGCACAGGCTAAGTGAGACAACTTCTATCCTTTCTGACACTATCAGCAAAGTGCATTCTTGATTATCATCCCCAATATTCCACTTTTGTACAACTGCTGCTAAATGTAAACTGGGAATGGTAATTACAATAATTATAAAATAATCATTTGCCAAAATAGATGGAATTCATCTAAATAGATTGGGACTTTATAAAACCCTGTACTCCAGAACTCTCAATTCATCACATCTACTACCCATCACTGAGCAAGAGTTTTTCAGTGATGCAGTGTATTTTATGCTGTTGCAATAGCCAAATAGAGTATATGCCATGTCATTGCATTCATGTTGATAAATATTACTCATTATGGCCTATTGTTGACACGAATTGTTGAAGTTGCCACAGATACATGTACAAAATCTCTTAACCAGGTCATCTTGATTAGATCCATGCTTCATGTTTATGAGTGTTGAATTACTACTGATTTTTTTTTCTAGGGAGGCTATTGGTATTCTGGTTGTCAAGTTCAACAGACTTTTGCATGTTCCCAAGTCAGGAGCCATGTGTAAGTCTGAAGTTGAGTGAAAATACCATCTTGGATGTTGATGTATCTTCAGATGGAGAGAAACTTCCCATCATTCATGCAATCACTCTTCATTCCATGTTTTTTATTCAACTGAGACCCCCTCTGTCTGTGGAGCTATGAAACAGAGAAATCTGTGCAACCTCAAGAGTCTTATTTTTCACCTTTATATCCAGATGAGTCATGCTTTCATATGCATTGCTCCCATGGTAAAGTCTTTTGATAGAACATGCACACACATGTGTTTGCATTAATCCTTTTTGGTTGATTATTG